TCAATTCTAGCAATAAATATGAGTTGCTATCTTTCAGCAGATTTGATTGCTTTAAAAACACAATAGCAAATGAACAGAACCAAGACAATGTGTACACAGGAACAGCTATATTGTTCTAAGAACAGCTTAGAACAACAAAGTCATTCAATACTGAAATGAACTACAAAGGACCTATGAAGGAAGATGCTATCCACATCTAGAGAAAGAACTGAGAAATTGATGAATGGATAATATGGCTTTACATGTGAGTATGTGCATATATGTAAATATGTGCACGTGTGTATATGATGTGTATGTGTGCATATGTGTATCTGTACATGTACATACATATCTACAGATCAATAGATAAGTTGATTGATAGATATATTTGTGTCTAATGGTAACCTTCCCTGGGGTAGGGTGGGGAAGGAGGGAGAAAAAAAAAGTTCACAGCAAAGAACAAAAGAAAACTTAGAAGGAAGCAAAGAAGAGCAGGCTAGCTTTGAAAACGATGTGTAGCATTTATTACATAGTTGTTTTTTTAAAGTAAACAATGTGAAATGCAAATTCATGGTTTTATATTGAATCCTCTTTTTATGTCGGCTGCGTACAGGGAATTATTAAATTTTTTTAGTCTTTTTGTATTCAAGTTCCAAACGAATAAAAATGTTTTTTTAAAAAAACCACAAGAGCAGTTTCCATTGGCTGGACTTCAGGGGAGGAAAATGTGCACTCTAATGAAATAAAAATAGGAAGGGAAACCTCAGGATATGATTAAATGACTTAGTGAATGGTAAAAGCAAGGCCAGAAAGCCATGAGTACAAAGAGGTAAAGCAGAACTTTCTGCCAGAACAAAGTGTCCATTTAGTGTTACAAGGAGTAGATGGAAATACTTAGCAGAAATAATGAGTGTCCTTCTAATGGCACTTGTGCCTTCTTTATTTCCACGTGGACGTCGAATGATTTTGGAATACTTTCTGGATGCAGCACTCCAGGCATCTTCTTCCATGCCAAAATACCATCAAAGATGCAATGGTAAACGACTCCACGGAAACCCTTTTGTTCGGGTACTTCGGTTTACTATTACAGCCCATTTCATGTTTCATAAATTTTTATAGAAAGCATTTTGTCCTAGGCTGCCCTTTCTTTTCAAGTGACTTAGTGAAATTCAGTTTAAGGATAAATGGAAATTCCTCAGTGAGTATGACTGGATAATTACTTGAGATGAATGTAGAGAGCCTTCCCTGCAAGAGCTCATGAAAGAAACTTACTCTTCTCTTGATAGAGAAGTACAGATAGATGTATGGATACTTCTGTCCCCAAGCTTTCCCAGAACCCCAGAATTTCAGAGTAGCAAGGGACCTGGATGATTGTTTAGTTCAACCCTATGTGGAAAAGAATCCTGTCTATTATATATGCAACAAGTCACTATTTGTCCTTTGCTTGAAGATTTCCAGTGAGGAAGAACTTTTTTTTTTTTTAGCACCTAGTGCCTAGGGCCTGACACACAGCAGACAACACAAAAATGCTTGCTGATTGGGTGGTTGCTTGAAGTCTCCCTAGGGAGTCCATCTGACCTTTGGACAGCCTGAATTGTTACAAAGCTTTTCCTGTCAGCAAACCTGGATTTGTCTTCTTGCAAGTTCAGACGCTTATAGATGGTTCTCACGGCCCCCTCCCCTAAGACTTCTCCAGGCTAAAACATGCCCAAGTTAGATGATCAGTCAAGTCACCAGTCAGTCAACAAGATTTATTATGGTTCTTCAGTAAGTCCTCATATGACATGTCCCTTCACCATCCCCTGTTGCCTTCTTTTGGATGCTTCCCAAAATGCTGTTCCCAGAACCAAATGCAACATTGCAAATGTGGTCTGAATAGGGCAGGGGACAACAGAATGATCTCCTGATTCGTGGACCCCAGGTGCTTCTTTTAATGCAACCTAGGGTAGCGTTAGAGGAAGTGTGGTATAATGGAGAAAGTCAGGAAGATTTGGGTCCTGCCTCTCACTCAAACTGCCTGGGTGACCTTGGGTGAGTCCTTTAATAGCTAACATTTATGCGGCATTTTAAGATTCATAAAGCACTTGACATTTATGATTGCATTTGATCTTTGCAATAACCCTGTGACGTAGGTGCTGTTATTATCACCCCCATTTTAGAGATGAGATAATCGAGGTTAAATGGTTTGCCCAAGGTCACACAGCTTGTAAATATCTGAGGGACTGCAATGCAGGTCTTCCTGACTCCGGGTCTGGTACTCCCTTCTCTGCACTACCTAACTGCTTAAGATTCTAGATCTTAGAGTAGTATGGTTACTGCACTGAGCACCTTCCCTAACACACGTGGTGTTTAATAAATGCTTATTGAGTACCTTCCCTAACATACAATAAGCGTTTAATAAATACTCATTGATTATTGGTAGAAGTTCCTCATTGGTGCTTCCTTGCATCACTGAAATCACAGGTCTGGTTAAAAAAAAAAGGATGGCATCAGATTCAGAGGTTGCCATATCATATTGTTAACTTGCAGTGAACTTTCAGCCTAGAAAATCTCCTGACCCTACTGAGATACTTCAAAAGTAATCTTCCATCTATAATCATGGTGCATAAATCACTTTAGAAATATGACTTATATTCATATTGTCATTTAGCAAAGGAATATAGGAAAAAAATGTGAATCATTTGGTAGTGGTGACAACCGAAATAGAACAGCTGTTTGAACACCTGCTTCAGTGACTGTCTAAATAAGGAAATCCTAAACTAACGTCTGCTGTCTTTTGCCCTGATACAGCCACAGCTAGAATGCCGTCTTCAGTTCTGGGTGGCACATTTTAGGGAAGACATTAACTGGCAAGCTGCGATGCATATAGAAAGGGCAGCAGGAGTGATGAGAGGACCACAACTGGCAGCTGAAAACATGACTGTTTGACTGGAATAAAAGAATATTTAGGGAAGATGTGATCATTGTCCTCCCATATTTAATGGGCTGTCTCATGGAAAAGAGTTTGAATCCTTGTGCTTGGTCCTATACTATAGACCTTCAAGCACTAGGCAGAAGGGGCAGAGGGGCAAATTTGGGCTCAGTATCAGAACAAACTTGATAACAAGGAGAGCTGTCCAAAAGTGAAATGGATTGCTTCAATGGGCATTGATTCCCTTCACACCCAAGATCTTCCAGTGAAGGTTGGTTCAAGTGCTGGCGATTCTTGGTTATTTATGGTTGGACTAGACCAGAGGGTCTTAACCTGGGTTCCACAAACTTTAAAGAATACATTGATAACTACATTTCCAAAGCTAGAAAAAGAACAAATTAAAAATCCCCAATTAAAACCTAACTGGAAATCCTAAAATCAAAGGAGATATTAATGAAAAGGGGGAATTCCCACCAATGAAGAAGAAATTAAAGCAATGATTAGAAGCAATTTTGCCCAATTGTATACCAATAAATATGACAGTCTAAATGAAACAGATGAATATTTACAGAAATATTAATTGACCAATTAATAGAAGAGGAAATCAAATACTTAGAAAAAGAAATTGAATGAATCATCAATGAACTAACTCCCTAAGAAAAAATCCCTAGGGCCAGATGGATTTACAAGTGAACTCTACCAAACAATTAATTTCAATACTGTATAAACTATTTAGGAAAATAGGCAAAGGAGTCCTACCAAATTCCTTTTATAACACAAATATGGTGCTGATACCTAAACTAGGAAGAGTCAAAAGAGAGAAAGAAAATTATAGACCAATTTCCCTACTGAATATTGATGCAAAAAATTTGGATAACTACATTTCTATATAATTGATTTCCTTTACAATCTTTTGACTTTATTTATTTTCATTTAAAAACCTTATTCTGAGAAGAGGTCCATAGGCTTCCCTAGACTGCCAGAGGGCTGCAGGACACAAATAAAGCTAAGAACCCTTGGACTAAATGAAAGTCCCTTCAAACTCTGAGATTCTGTGATTCCGATCATCTTTGAGGTTCCTCTTGTTAATACCCATTGGTGTCTGACATGCTCTTCCTTTCAGCCTGAGCCAGGCAGCTATGTGGCACAGTGGATAGAGCTTTGGTTAAGCATTTAGCACAGTACCTGGCCCGTTCTGCATCCTGAATCACCAGACGCAAAAGAGTAATCTTTAAATGGTGGCATTTAAAATACTTGCATTATAAGGAAATATTAATAGATAGCAATAGGCTTGCAAAGCACTGTATGAATATCATTTCATTTGATTCTAACAACAACCTTGTGAGGTATATGCTATTATTATGCCCATTTTACAGGAGAGGAAACTGAGGCAAACAGAGGTTAAGTGACCTCTCTAGGGCCTCACAGCTACTTAAGTGGCTGAGGCCACATTTGAATTCAGGTCTTTTTGACACAAGGCCCAAAACCCTATCCCCTGTGCTACCTCCCTGACTCAAAATATTTGCCCTTTGGACCATCTATTTGAAGCATTCAGAAACCTTTAAAAACATTTCTTGTTGTTATTTGAATATTCTCAACAAATGCAAACATTTTAACATATGAAGAATTAAAAAAGGATTGCACACGAAACTATAAATTAGTTTTTTTAAAAGATGTATATTACATTTAACATTTTTGTAGTTGTTCAGTTGTTTCAGTAATGTTTGACTCTTCATGATTCCATTTGTGGTTTTCTTGACAAAGATGCTGGAATGGTTTACCATTTCCTTCTCCAGCTCATTTTACAGATGAGGAAGTTGAGGCAAATAGGATTAAGTGATTTGCCCCAGGTCACAGCTAGTAAGTGTCTAAGGCTGGATTTGAACTCAGGAAGATGAGTCTTCCTGTCTTCAGGCCCAGCATTCTATCCACAAAATTGTTGTTCCTGTCTTTTTTTTTTCTCCAAATTCCTTTTTTTATTTTGCATCCAGAAACTTTTCATGAAGCTAGAATATACCGTACTCTGGGCAAAGATCTCTGCCCAAAGGTTAAGACACTGTCAGCAGCCTTTTGCACTGAAACTCAAGACAATTATTCATTTCTATTGCAGGATGGAGTTTGCCCTTTGGAGCACAGCATGTGAGAATATTTGTCATCAAATCAGAGTATTTATTACAGCTGCTGTTTATTACTGAAACATTCCTGGGTTTCTTCAATGCCTCTGCCATTACAGTTCTAGGAAGAAAATGGATTTGGTCTGCCTGGAACAGGAAACCAAAGTGCATAAAGCTAGATGGATTCGCTGCATGGGGAATGAGGGCATGTGATTGCCTGACAAACAACTCATGAATAAATATCACTTTCTGGGCCCCAACTTATCCTCTTGGACGTTTCCTGAGAGAAATGAGTGAAGGCAGCGAAGGATTGGTTGAACCCAAGTATGTTTTTGCTATGCTTTTCAATTGCTCACTCCATGCTGTGGATTGGTGGTTATTGGATGGAGACCATAACTGATGAAGTGGCTGATGGAGTCAGGCTCCACCATGGGCATCCACAAAAAGGTGGGCGATGAAAAAGATGCTGCAGGGTCTCAGGACCCTTAAGTGGCAGACTCAGTTTAGTAGTTAAAGGTTTTGACACTGATTTAGGGATTCTGGAATGACTGACCCAGTGGTGGGTGGCATATTCTACATTTTCCATTCATAAATGTTAATTAATGCCTCATTGTGGTCTGCAGATTGTCCACTAAACATTTAGCAAGAAGGTGATGCTACGAGAGTCGGAATTCATTGCCAAGTTCTGGGCTTCCCAGCCCTGTGACATGTTACGGCCCTCCATGTCTTTGTGACACATGTCTCATGAGATCAGGTTTAGAGCTGGAGGGGAGGAGGGCAGGAGAAAGGCTCCCTTACCCACTGGGGTCAGGAGGAGCACTCTGCTGGTGCCTAACATCTCCCGCTTAGGGGCACCAATTTCAAGTATAAAAGATAAACATCATAGGATTGTTTCCCTAACCACACCTTTTCTTTTTAACGTTGTTTTTAAGGCAGGAAATAGTAATTATTTAATAAATAGCAATATAGAACAAGTAGGCAAGTAGCTGGCGCAGTAGATAGAGCACTGGGTCTAGAATCAGGAAGACTCATCTTCATGAGTTCAAATTCAGACTCAGACACTTACCAGCTGTGTGACCCTGGGTAAGTCGCTTAACCCTGTTTGCCTCAGTTCCTCATCTGTAAAATGAGCTAGAGAAGGCAATGGCAAACCACTCTAATATCTCCGCCAAGACATCCCCAAATGGGGTCGCAGAGAGTTGGACACCCGGAACAATAACAGCACCACAGCATACAACAAATTCCTTAAGTAAGGACAAACTTCTGTGTATTTCAGTTTCACCTCTGAGGCATGTCGCTGGCACGCCCTTGAGGGTGAGTGTCAGATCAATGAAGGCAACGATGAAGGAACCCACGGCACCGACTCCTTCCCTGATACCTGCTTCCCATGGACTTGGACCTCTGACCTTGACCTCTGCCTGCTTCCCAGGGTGGCTGGCTCATCTGCTGGGCTGGGGTGGAGTGCTAGAGTGAGTCAAGGACAACCGCAGGCCAGAAGAGGTCCCTCCTGTGCCCACCCCACCATCCCTTAGTTCTTCATCCCTCGGGTGCCCATTTGGTTGCGTCCAGATTTATATCTGCTCCCGTCCTTTCGCTTTTTCACACCCCACTGAGCAGCTGAAGCCAGGTGAGCACATCCGACTTCAGAAACTCTATGAGTGGACCAGCCCCGAGACCCTAGGCCAATAGCTGGCTCCCTTTTTCTCCCCTGTCCCCATCAGAGCAGAGCCAGGAGAGAGTTCCAACAATGTAGAATGTTAGAAAGATGGGGAGTGCGTTAGCCCAGGTAGACCCCAGTCTTACCTGTGGGAGAACTGAGGCTCAGGTGCTAGGTGCATTTGCTCAAGGTCATGTGACCAGGTGGCAGAGCTGGAAAAAATTACCTTAATTTCTAATATTTTAATAAACTAAATGCTTCTTCTAAAGTGACATCATCTTTTTAAAAATTTTTTTTTATTTTTTTTTAGGCAATTGGGGTTAAATGACTTGTCCAGATTTGAACTCAGGTCCTCCTGTCTTCAGGACTGGTATGCTATCCACTGTGCCCCCTAGCTGCCCCCTAAAGTTATGTCATCTTAAATTTCATAGCTCCAGAAGCTTGGCAGTCATCCCACTCATGGGTAGCCTGGACTCCATAGTGATGGGGTTCCCAGGTTTCAGGACCTTCATAGCTGCGATGGGAGTGAATGGGTGGAAGATAAGGTGAAGCACATGCCCAGTGCCTGAGAAGCAAGAGGAGGAAAAGCATCATGAGAGCCCCATCAGTTGTGCATACTGTCTAATGGCAATGAGCAATCTTGGTCTCAGAAAGGCCATGAGGAAATGAACCTCCCTCCCCCTTGGAGAGGTGGAGGACCATGGGTGCAGAATATTGCATACGCTGTCAGAGGTGGCCGAAGCATCGTTTGGTTTTAATTTATTATAAGAGAAAGCTCAATGGGTGGGGGAGGGGTGATGGTGAGGTAAAAATCAAAGACGTCAATAAAACAGAACCCCTTTGTAAATAATAGATGTTTGTTGAAAATACCGATGATCATTTCAGTTCCAAATGATTAGCGGAACTGTTAACTATAGTCATAAATAATATGGGCAGTCAGGTGGTACAGTGGACAGAGTGCTAGACTTGGAATCAAGAAAAACTGAATTCAACTCCTCCCTCAGACACGTACTAACTGGGTGACCCTGGGCAAGTCACTTGACCACTCTCGGCTTCAGTTTCCTCACCTGCAAAATGGGGACAATAATTGCACCTCCCTCCCAGGGTTCTCATGAGGATCAAATGAGATCATATATACCGAGCAAATTGCAAATCTTAAAGTGCTCTTTAAAGGCTAGCTATTATTATTGATCTTCCTGATTAAACCTGGCTATTAAAAAAAGAAAAGAAAAGAAAAGAAGTTAGGCTTGCAACTAGGCGTTGTAGAAGGGCATTTGTAGCTTGACATTTTTTTCTTGCCTGTCTGATTTTCATTTGTTCTGTGCACACCCTTAGATACTTTCTGGTTGTGTGACCCTCGTCAAGTCACTTAACTGCCTTTTGCCTCAGTTTCTCAACTGTAAAATGGGCTAATAAAAGCACCTACTTCATAGGGTTGTTGTCAGACTCAAGGGAGATATTTGTTTTAAAAAAATGGGCTTAGTGTGTCCTGGGTGCTATGTTAATGCTTATTCACTTCCTCTGAAGCTCACTAGGGTTTCCCCTCACTTTCACTCTTAGACAGCTAGCATTTATCTAGTGCCTTCAGGTTTCTAAAGGGCTATACATCTATTCTCTTATGAGCCTTCCCCCCTGCCCCTGCCCCTGTAAGATATCTGAAGTGAGAGTTGAACTCAGATCCTCTTAACTTAGAGCCCTGTGCTCTCTCCATTGAGCCACTTGCACACACAAACACACTTAAGGAGACTGCATCTTCTCCTACGTCCACATTCCGGAGTCAAATCTACCCTTCACTGCTCACTAGCCCTTGTGACTCTGGGGTGGTCCACGCCCTCTCCACAGCAGCCTAACGCTCAAACAGTGAAGACAGTGGAGGCACCGAAAGGTCCACGACCGCAATGGATCTGGGCATACCTACTGTATCTGTTTCTATCAGCTCCTTGCCTCGGTCAGCTGCCCTGGTTTCTGACACTTGGATGGAGGCATGATCTTGCTGGGAGCCCTCCCTCTACCAGTGCCACCAACCCAGCCTTGCTCATCATGGGGGAATCTGATCTCCTCTCCATAGAGGAAGGTCCCACCCGAAGGGTGCAACCTTTGGATTGTCCGTTTGTTAGCCACGTGATTGCCCCATATCCTTCTCAGTCTTTTAAGCCACTCTGTGCATGAAAGTCTTTATGAAGACATTTTGCTATCTCTATTTATTCTCACTATATCAACAAGAACTTATTAAGCCTCTCCTACAGGCCAGGTTCTGGGTGCTGGGGATAAAGAAATAATCTGTACTCAAGGAGCTTATATTCTAATCCTAATATTCTAAGGTTGTATTCTAAAAGAAAATTCTAATGCTTAATAACAAGTGCATGTAGACTATATAATTAATATGAAGCTAATGTATATAAATATATGCAAAGTAGTTGAATCCAAGGCAGTTTGGAAGGGAGAACCCTAACATTTGGGGGGGAGGGGATCAGGAAAGGGTCTATGTAGAAGATGCAGCCTGAGCTGCATTTTAAAGGAGGAGAGAGAATCAAGGAGGTGGGGGTGAGAACAAAATGCATTATAAGAATGGAGAATGGTCAGTGCAAAAGCAAAGGGGATGGGAAATGAAGTTTTGAGTAGGAGGAAGAGAGGAAGCAGATGTTGCTGGACTTTACAATGTTAAAGGAGGAGCAATGTCCGTTGAGGCTGGAAAGTTGTGCTGGGGCCAACTTGGGTGGGATTTTAAAGTAAGAAACAGCAAGGTGGCACTGGGGATTGAACACTGGACCTGGGGTCGGGAAGACGCTTCCTTAGCTGTGTGACCCTGGCAAGTCATTTAATTTCTTTCTGCCTCAGTTTCTTCATCTATTAAATGGAGATAATAATAACACCTGCTTTCCAGGGTTGTTGTGAGGATAAAATTAAATAATATTTACAAAGCAAACCTTACAATGCTATACAAATATTGCATATTATTAATAAACAGAGGAGGATTATCTTGTATCTTTGAGATAACAACGGGAAGCTATTGGAGCCGAAGGGAAATCACATGGTCAGACCTCTGTTTAAGGAAAGTTATTTTTATAGCAGTGTGTAGGATGGGCTGGAGTGGAGAAGAGATGTAAAGCAGGAAAACCAATTAGCATGCTCTTGCAGTGATCTAGGTAAGAGGTAATGAGGGCCTGAAGAAAGATGGTAGCTGTATCATTGGAGAGAAGGGTCAGATGCTGGGGATGTTGTATATGTAGAAATGGCAAGATTTGGCAAGGATCAGATATACGGGGTGAGGAGTCCAGGTTAATTCTGAGGTTTCCAGCCTCAGAGGCTGGAAGGATGTTAGTGCCTTTGAAAGAAATAGGGAAGTGTAGGAAAGGGGTAGAGATTTGTGGAAAGATCTTGAGCTCGGTTTTGGACTTGCTGAATTTGAGATGTTTCTGGGATGACCAGTTTGAAATGTCTACTAGGCAAGTGATGATGCAGGATTGAGGCAGATGGTAGCTAAGCCAGTGGAGGCTGATGAGAAAAGAGAGAAAGAAAAGAAGAGGACCTAGGGTGGAACTTTGGCAACCACAGTTAAGGGCTATGACCTGGATGACGATCCAGCAAAGGAGACTTAAACTGGGTCAGAAAAGTACCAAAAGCAGGAGAGTCATTAGGAGAAGGGGGTGCCCAACAGTGTAGACTGCATTAGATAGGACTGGAAGGATGAAGACTGAGACAAGGCCGTCAGATTTGGCCATTTCGAGGTCACAGGTAACTTTGGAGGGAGCAGTTTTAATGGAATGATTCAGTCAGAAGCCAAATTACAAAGGGCTGAGCAGTGAGTGGAAGAATGGGAAATGGAGATAGCCAGTGTAGATAACTTTTTCAAACAAGGAGTTTGGTTGAGAAAGGGTGAATGGATGTAGGAAGATAGCTTGAGGAAATGATACGGTCTTTTGGGGTTTTTAAGGAAGGAGAGACTGGAGCATATTTGAAGGGAGCAGGGAAGGAACTTTTGTCCTCTGTGTTACCTGTGGGGCTTCATCAATTGAAGCCATTCAGTATCACTGGGGGAAAAATTGTGGGGGGAGGAAGAAGAATGTAGGACAGGGTTGTACACATGATGTCTTTGGTATAGGGAGCTTCTGGTAAGGAAACCACACAGATCAGCAAAGGCTCCGCTACCAAAAGGCCTAGAAAGCTGCCTAGGGGCACTTAGATGTTAAATGACTTGCCCAGGGCCACAAAGTCTATAAGGGTCTGGGGTAGGACTTGAACCCAGTTCTTTCTCAGTCTACTGCTAGAAGCTTCCTTTCCATTGGGGGAATACTGGTGTGAGAAAGATGGGACTTAGCAGCAGGCAGCATGTTGGGGTCATTTATATATTATTTTATTTATTAAAATGTATTATTATGTATTTATTAAAAGAAAAAGTTCATTGTAGTCTCTCAAATGTGATCCAGCTGGCTCTCTATACTCTATTTAATTCAATTGTCCAATTATAGAGACTCTCTAAGATATATGTTGTTTATTGTTAAGTTGTATCTGACTCCTCATGGCTCCATTTGGAGTTTTCTTGGCAAAGATACTGAAGTGGTTTGCCATTTCCTTCTCCAGCTCATTTTACAGATGAGGAAACTCAGGCAAATAGGGTTCAGTGAGTTGCCGAGGATCACACAGCTAGGAAGTGTCTGAAGACAGATTTGATCTTAGGTCTTCCTAACTCTAGGCTGGAAGTTCTATCCACTGCACCACTTAGCAGCCCAATATACACAAATCAAAGAATTAATTCAATGGCCTGTCCACCCAAATACAATACACATTGCTCATCCACTCAGTTTTGTCTTCTTGTGGCACTAGCCTGACTTCTTGACTTGTCACAGATCTCATTCTAGTATCTGACGCCATAAACTCAATGTCATCTGCAAAGAGGGGCATCTAGAGAACATCACCTAAATTATCAATGAAAATATCTCATGAGATTAATTTTTGTTGGTTTCCTTTTGGCAGCCCATGGAATCAAAGAAAGCCATTTTTAGAAAATATTTTCTCTTTTTTTCTACTTTTTTCTTACTCAAAACACTCTAACACTATAAGTCATCATTCAGTGATAATTCTCACAAAGTACACCAGTAAAATCTTATTAAAGTATCCTGGTCTTCACTGTTTGGAATACATACTCATTGGAAATCGATGTTCTTCATGTTACCAATTAGAACTGCAAATACCATTACAGGGGCAGTCTTCAAAACACTGGAAAACAAACTTTTCAAGTACTTTGTGAGCCTCCTAGGATCTTTGATTTCCAGCTGGAAGGGGCTGTAGAGTTCAATCTAGTCCAATCCTTTCAGTTCCAGGTAAGGAAACTGTAAGTGATGCCAACAGTTATACACATAGTAAGCATTGGACAGTCAAGATTTAAACTCAGATCAGCTGACTCCAATATTCAGCACTCTTCACAGTTCTTTCCACTGTTCCCTGCTTACAATTTATATACATTTAATGTGCCAGTTGCAAACCACCATTATTTATTTATTTATTAAAAGAAATTGTGTTAAAGGCTATGCTAGGCAATCGTTGCTTACTCTGAGTCTTTGAAAGTTACAAAACTATGTAATAAATACTTGCTGATCAAATTCTAGATTTTTCAATAATTCCCATCAGTGCTTGCCCTCTATTGCTCCCCCAATCCATCAATATGCATTACAAATAATCAGATTTTACTCTAATTGGCTATCCCAATTGTCCCTGGAAATTGAATCTGTAAAAATTAATAGAGTTTCTAAAATGTGCAGATGAGTATCCTCTTCAGACCACTTTAATCTATGAAAATAATAACATATCATAAAAATGAATACTGCTTGATAGTTTAATTAATTGCTTTCTTGTTTGTCATGATCAAAACCATTAATATTTACTTCTCAAAGTCCTCAAATCCTAGGCAAATGATTGGGCAGATAACTACATTCATAGGCAATTTTTTTCTCCTTTAAAAAATTATTCAGCTTTGTGGACACTTATTGTTTTGATGGAATCTTTCCAATATTTCCCCTAATAAGTCTTGATTCAAAAAACATTCCCTGACCACAGTTTATTGATTGTTAACAAAATGGAGAGATGTGTCCTTTAGCTTTGACAATATGGCACTAACATTGATCATCATAATTGACCAGTTTTGTTGCCTTTCAAGGTCAACTTTATTTACATTGTTGTAGTCATGTCTATTCATTCTGCATCACTTCATACATATATTCCCATGTTTCTCTGAATTCCTCATATTCCTCATTGGGTACTTCAAAGTAATATTCCCATACATATAGTATATTTTGTCTAACCATTCTTGAATTGTTAGGCATATATTTTTTTCCTGTTTTTTTTTGGTTATCATAAATAATACTATGACTATTTCTATTTGTGAGCATTTTATTGCTTTCAACAATCTATTTGGGGGATAGTCCCAGTAGTGAAATGGTTTAAAGGCTATGCATAATTTTGTAACTTGCCCTGCATAATTCCAAATTGTTTTCCAGAATAGTTAAACCAATTCCCAGCTTCACTACCATTGAATTAATGTGCCATCTTCCCATGGCCCTTACAACAAGGAGATTTCCCATATTTTCCCATCTTTGCTGCATCTTTGTTGCATCCAAATATGTGCACTTATACGATTATTAGTGATTATGAACCTGTTTTTAGGTGGTTGTTTGTAATTTATAATTCTTTTGAAAAATGTTCACATTCCTTGACCACCTGTCTACTACAGAATACCTATTAATTTTTTAGATTTTTGTCAATTCTGGTATATTTTGGGTGTCAGAATTTTCTCCATTCCTATATTTAATTCTGATTATAACTACATCAACCAGTATTTATTAAGTATTTACTCTGTGCCAGGCACTGTACTTACCATCACTTTCATTTGTGTAAAACCTTTTAACTTAAATAGATATTATCTATTTTACCTTTTATTATCTTTATCTTTTATTATTCTATGTCTGCTTACAAAAATTTCCTCTATCCATAATTGTGAAAGATATAACTGTCCATTTTCCCTTAATTTTTTTGTGGTTGATTTTTTTAAATTTAGATATCTTGTCTATTTGGATGTATTGTGGGATGAGGTGTAGAACATTGGCCAAACCTTTGTTAACATTATTTCCATGGCCAATCATCTATCTGGTACCTACAACACACTAGGTATGTATATAGACTAACTCCACATGATGTTTCTAAGCTTTTAGAGGGTTCTCAAGTGGAAGATGGAGTTAGTGTAAGTTGAATAGGAGCAGATTTAGGCTTAATGAGAAAAATCCAAACTGGCTAACAAGTCACAGCTTACCAAAAGTGGGATAACCACTTAGAGATCACTGGTCGTCCTCATTTGCTAGATAAAGAAATGGAGACATTTAGAGTTCAAGATACGTTTATTCAACAGCAACATTTATTAAATGTCTTTGTTATTGTAATTATTAAGTCGCTTTTTCAGTCATGTCTAAGTCTTCAAGACCCCAGTGGGTTTTTCTTGGCAAAGATACTGGAGTGGTTTGCCATTTCCTTCTCCAGATTTCCCATTTTACAGTTGAGGAAGCTGAGGCAAACAGGAGTCAAATGATTTGCCCAGGGTCACACAGCTATGAGTGTCTGAGGCTGGATTTGAACTCAGGTCTTCCAGACTCTGGGTCCTATGCTCTATCCACTGTGCCACCTAGCTGCCCAGTACTAAGAGCATACTGTGTGCTATGTGCTGGGAGAGATAGAAAGTTTAGAGAAAACATATTCTTTGCCCTCAGGTACCAGGGAGTAAGCTGAATAAGTAGAGCACAGATTTCAATGATATAAAATATGACCTGGTAAATGCTTTGTGAGGTCTGGTGGGGAAGATGTATAGGCTCAGAGATTTAGGGCTCAAAGAAACCTCATTCTACAGATGGGAAAACTGAGATCAGTCATGAGACATTTATTAAGTGCCTTCTATGAGCCTGACACTCTGCTAAGTAATGGTGATACAAGAAGAGGAAAAAGACAGTCTCTGTCCTCAAGGAACTTACAATCTAATGGGAGAGACAGGCAAACAAATATGTTCAAACAAGCTAGATAAAGAATAAATAGGAGATAATTAACAGAGGGAAGGCACTGGAAGTAAGAGGTGCTGGGGAAAGCTTCCCGTAGAAGATGGGACTTAAAGGAAGCCAGGAAGGTTGGTAGTCAGAGAGAAGGAGGGAGGGCATTCCAGGCATGAGAGGCAGCCAGAGAAAAGGACTCTGTTGAGAGATGGAGCATCATGTTCATGGAACAGCCAGGAGTCCAGTGTCACTGTATTGAAGAGTACCCAGTGGGCAGTAAGATTTAAGAAGATGGGAAAGGTAAAAGGGAGCCAGGTTATGAAGGGCTTTGAATGCCAAACAGCATTTTGTATTTGATCCTGGAGGCAATAGAAAGGTTGTTGAATGTGTGTGTGGGGGTGACATGGTTGAACCTGTGCTTTAGGAAAATCACTTTAGTGACCGAGTGAAGGAAGGATTAGAGTGGGGAGAGACTCAAGGCAAGCAGACCTACCAGCAGCTATTGTAATAGTCCAGTTATGAGGTGATGAGAAGGTAGTGTCAGAGGAGAGAAGGGAGTGAATTTGAGAGCTGCTGTAGAAGTGAAATCTGTAAGAGATGCTCCACAAGTGAAATCTACAAGAGATGCTGTAGAGGTGAAATCTCCAAGAGAAGCAGAAGTGAAATCTATAAGAGATGCTCCAGAAGTCAAACATACAAGAGATGCTGCAGAGGCGAAATCTACAAGAGATGCTGTAGAGGTAAAAAGGATAGGCCCTGGCAACAGTTTGGATATGGGGAGGAGTCCAGGATGACTCCAGAGGGACTGGGAGGTGGTGTTGCCTTCTACACTAATAAGGAGGGGAGGGTTCAGGGGGGAAAGAGAATGAGTTCAGTTTTGGATATGTTGAATCTAAGATGTTTACTAGACATCAGTTTGAGATGTCTGAAAGGAAGTTGGAGACCTGGGACTGGAGGTCAGTAGAGAGATTAGTACAGGACAGGTAGATGTGAGAATCGGTAGCACAGAGAAGGTAATCAAATCCATGGTAGCTGATGAAATCACAGAGTGAAGTAGCAGAGGAGCCTGAGGAGATACCTAGTTAGGGACTCACCTGTCTTCCTTCAGTGGCCCTCCCACAATCTGGCTCCACCCTACCTTTCCAGCCTTCTGACATTCCCTGACAAAGAGAATTTCTTTTTACTGGCCCTGCTCTCCCCCAACACATTCAGTGATTTCCCATTTTTAAGGCTTTGATCTCTCTGTTCCCTCTGCTAGAATGCCCTTCACCCCCCTCTTTATCTGCTCATCTCCACTTATCTTTTAAAGTTCAACTCAAATGCCAGGTGCTCAGGGAAGATTTCTCTGAACATTCTGTCCCCAAAGGCCATCTTGCTTGGATTTTAATTTAATTCAACAAACCCTATAAAGGAATTTATGTTTGAAAACTTATTTGTGGTACTAACATATTGACCTTGTATTAATTGTGACTACCTATCTGGGTTGGTGTACTACATCTCGTCTATACCTCAAGCCTCAAGAAGGCTGGGATTCTATGTTATCTGAAATCATTTTCCTGTTAACAACTGCAATGCTCTGCACACAATGGGTGTTTTTGACTTGATTTTTGATTTGTTAAATATGTGCTAATAAAAATATTTGTTAAAATCACATTGGACTGCACTTCAAGCTGTTGGAGCGGCAGTGTGGTGGGGTGGAAAGGGTCCTGAATTTGGAGTCAAAGAAAATGGGCCAACATAGCGGTTACCTGTAGACGAATGGGTTGATTACCTTGTTTGTTTGTTCTTATTTGTTCTAAAGGAGGATGTCGAGGAGGCACTAGGATGTGGCAGAGAGATTTAAAGTAAGTCAAATTAAAAAAAAAGCACTTATTAAACAACTACTATGTGCCAGGCAGTGTGCTAAGTGCTGGGGATACACATGGATAAAGAAAACAAAGAAATACAAAGAAAAGCAAAATCCAAACCCCTCAATAAAACATTTAAAGTGGAAAAAAAACCTGTTCCAGCTCTGTAGGTCTCAATTTCCTCATCTGTCAAATGGCTCTGAGGTTCTTGCTAGGGCTGACATTCTAGGACTCACTGGATTTAGGAATGGGGGTTGCTTTTTACTGTAGAGGGAGACAACTCTTTATCTTCCCCCTCTTCTTTTCTGACGCTTGCCCCTTTAAGAAAGCACGGGCTCTAACTCTCGCGCGGTCTCGTGCACGCTCTCGCGAGATCTTCTTCCCGGAAGCGACGGTGTCGGTGCCGCGTGTGAAGAGCTTGTGAGAGACTGGGGTCGGTTCCGGGGTGGAATCCGGGCAGGGTAGAACGGGACCGGGACGGGTGGGGGCTCCGGGCCGTGACTCGACCCCAGGGGCGGCGGGTGAGGGGCTGAGGTTCATCCTCCCTTACAGGGTAGGAAACTGAGGCACAGAAAGGTCCAGGACGGGCCCAGGGTCCCCCGGATCCTCCGGGGCTGAGGGGTCATAGGTCACGAGCTGGACTAGACCCTCGAGGTTCCTCCTCTCTCGAGGAGAAGATCGAGGCGGGGGTCGGAGGTCCCCTGAGTCAGGAAGGCCCGGCCGTCGAACCCCGCCTCCTGCTTTTACAGGGGAGGAAACTGAGAGGCAGCCCAGGCCCTCACCCCGCCGGGTGCAGGCGGCCTGACCCGGCTCTTGTGACCCCGAAGTGCGGCCCGGCGGCCGCAGCGGGGCCTGCCCCTCCCGGGGTGGGGGGATCCCGGTGGGCGGGGGGTGAAAGGGGAGGAGGGGGAGGGGGAGGGGCAGGGGAGAGGGCCGGCCGAGCTTTATCCCCCTTCTCTTCCTAGGGCTCAGCACCGACCATGGAGTACCTGCAGGGCCCCGCCTCGAGTAGTGCCGGCTGCGTGTGAGTCCCGCCCGTCCGTTGCGGGCCCCCTCGGGGGGGGGGCGCTGTCACCCCTCGTCCCCAGTTCAGTTTAGAGGTGTTAGAGAAGCGGGGCTGGGTCTTCTCAGGCCCTTTGCTGAAGACGCTGGTGCTTTGGGGTGTGTGGGGAGCGAGATCAGGTCGGGACAAAACCAGGACGAGAGAGCCCCGCAGGGTTCAGGAGTGTGGAGGTAGCGCGTTAAGTGATCATCGCAAAGCAGGCGCATCGGCCCGGGGCTGGCTTAGCCGCTGTGTGGCAGGATGCATCTGGACGATCAAGTAACGTTCGTGCCTCGATTTGCCAGTCTTAGCAGTGGGGTGGCCTAGAATACGGCTTTGCCCGTCTCCTACCTGTTGAGTTCAGTTCGGAAAACATTCTGTGTGCGAGGCGCTCTGCTAAACGTTAGGGATACAAAGAGACAAAGGACGGTTACAGTCTAATGAGGGAGACTGCGGGCAAACATACACGCACAGGTTAAACAGAATAACTTACATATGTGACGTCATCTCTCCAAATTATTTTTCCTCTGTGAGTGTATTCTTGCACTTGGACTTTAGAACGAAATGATTTCTGAGGGGAAACGTTCTGAGACCTGATTGTACTTATTCTCAGTCAATCCCACTATATAATGAATGCAGCATATCTTAAGGAATTTTTTGAGGATGGGTTAATGTCAGAAAGAAGGTTAAGGTGCAAGTTGAGCCTATTATAGTGCAGTTTGAGCTCTTTGGAAGATGTATTATCGCTGTCCCATTTGAGAAATCTGTAATTTGCTTAATTTTGTTTTATTTATTTAAGCCTGTGCTGCGAGTGTGGTGTCCCCATCCCCCCTAATCCGGCCAACATGTGTGTGGCCTGTTTGAGGACGCAAGTGGACATCAGCGAAGGGATCCCCAAACAAGTCTCCGTTAACTTCTGCAAACAGTGTGAAAGGTGTGATGTTTTAGCTTATTTATTTACTATTCAGATTTTCATCTAGGGTGAGAGGAGCTATAAGTTTTGGGCAAATACTTGGGAGTCCCAAATTTTACAGTGTACTTTTCTTGTTTTAAAAAAAATTAATAAGGTCATTACAAAGGTATTTGTTTCTTTTTCTGATGTCTTTTCTGTAGGTGGTTTTAAGAAACTGATTTATGCTAATTGAGTTGATGTTTCTGAGGGTAGATAAAAATAGAATATTAAGAGAAATTTAGTTATTACTGCTAGTCTGAGTTATTTCTTTGTTTAATTGCTAGTTGATATAAGTGAAATGAAAATAACACAGTTTAGATTTGTATCTTTAAGTTGTAATATGTGTTAAGTACTTTAAAAACCTTATTTAACTTTTCTTCCTATATTCAGTAATAAACATTTAATAAATGCTGACTACAAAGGCAGCTAGGTGGTACCCTTAGTGGATAGAATGCTGGGCCTAGGGTGGGGAAGACTCATCTTCCTGAGTTCAAAGCCAACTTCAGACATTTACTAGCTGTGTGACCCTGGGCAAGTCACTTCATCCTGTTTGCCTCAGTTTCTTCATCTGTAAAATGAACTGGAGAAGGCAATGGTAAACCATTCCAGTATCTCTGCCAAGAAAACCCCAAATGGGGTCACAAAGGGTTGGACACAACTAATAACAACAACAAAGTGCCTACTGTATGCCTGGCACTGTGCCAAATGCTGGGGATACAAATACAAAAAAGAAAGTCTCTGCCCTCGAGGAGCTTACAATCTAAAGGAAGAAGAAAGTACACAGAAGGAAAGCCTGAGGGTGGGTGTGGGGCTTGGAAGAGAAGATGCTGGCTGAGGGAGCAAGGTGAAGAGATCTAAGAAATTCAAAATGAGGCAGGGTGGGAAATGAGGTGTCTCAGGAGATATTTCTTCTGTTTGCTCTCCTTAAATTAAAGTTGAGTTCGGAGTTCTACCCTCCAGTCAGAAGGGCCAAGGGAGTACTGATGATGTGGAAGTACCAAGGCTGCTTGGATCTGGCAGGAGAATGAGATTTCCCAGTGATGAGATCAACCTGAGTGCAGCCTGGGTTTGTGCATAAACCTTGGAAGAGGCTGGTATTCCCGTGGTTGGCTGTGATGGCATGGACATACCTCTATTACACAGAAAATCTGCACTAATTTTCTTAGGAGCAGCCAGTGGTCAGACCTTGCCCGTGATCTGGCAGGGCTTTGAGTGTGTCCTAACTGATCTGTCAGTGGCCTGGGTGTCAGCATGTAGCCAGGTTGAGAGAAGTTTCTGGCAGAAGGTTGGACAGAAACACAGCCCCTTCTCCAAGACTTAAAGCCAAGAGGGGCAGCAGTGAGCTTCAGTGGTGAGAGACCTTGCTCAGATAAAAATCACACATCTTTGAAATAAGTGTTTGTTTCTCCTGCCTTTCAGAACAGATGTGATTGTAACGAGAGTAGTCGTTTTCTTATAATTTTTAATTTCTGATAACATCTCGACTGTAATGAAAAGTTTTTTTCTTTTATTAGTTTGTTCACTACCTCCTGCCCCTAATTGAGTCACTTCCCCTGCCTCCTGAAGAGAGAGAGAGAGAGAGAGAGAGAGAGAGAGAGAGAGAGAGAGAAATGAAGCACCTGATTCTGTACAAGCAGATTGCATCTGTCAAATTCCCTCATCAACTGTGTCTGAAGATGTTTGTCTCTTTTTGCATTTTAAGTTCATTCTGTCTCTGGCAAGAGGTGGCTGGTGTTTCATCTTCACTGATTTATTGTGTTGATCAGAATTCCAAAGCCCTTCAAAGATGTTTGTTCTTCTTTGTCTACTTACTTTGATCTGCATCAGTTTGGCTTCCTAGTTTCTCCTGAAACTGCCCATTTTGTCATTTTTGATGGCATGGTAACATTCCATTCTGTCCATGCACTATACTTTGTTTACTATTTCCCAGTTAGAGAACACTGTCTCAGTTTCCAGTTTTGGGCTAACACCAAAAGAGCCACTGTAAATATATTTGTACACAAGTCTCTAGCATCTCACATCCATTCTTAATGTATAAATTCACCAGCCAGTCAATTTACCTACTTCTGTGTCCAAAAGCAGTCTTAGCTGATGGAGGGAAACACCTGTTAGTTTATAGGTAGAGTGGCCTGGAATCAAGACTTCTTTTCTTCCAAGGTTTAACTGTGGCTGCTCTTTGGAGGTGAATTGCCCCTGTTCTTTGTTGGATGGAGGGGTGGACAATATCCTGGACCATGGTGTCCGTAACTGCTTAACAAATAACAAATTAAAGGTTTGTCTGTGAGACGTTTTCCTTCCTTGTTTTGCCTCTCCTCACCTGGGTAGTCTCTGTCCTAGAGACCCAAAAACCAGTCTGCCTGTGGAGGGTGTTTTGGGATTCTAGATCTGAGTGGGTACTCTCTGCCTCTCCTGGGGGACCTGTTCTTTTAAGACGATAGGCTGGGTGGTTTCTTCTGAATGGTGGTACTGATTGGGAAGCCAGGACCTTGAGAGCAAAAGACTGTCTTGTCTTGCCAAGGATAGTGCTCAGAAAAGTCTGTCCCTGAGCAGTGCGGTGGGCTCACTGCTGCCCCCAGCATCGAGAGCATAGGCAGACTGGATGCTAGGACCTTCTTTCTGCCTTTGTCACCATTGCCTTCGTGTCTGATCGAGGAGAAGTTGCTTTAATTTGTTCGTATCCCAAGTTTTAAAACTGGCGTCGTGTGAAGTAACAATTTTAAGTTCGGAGAAAGCATTGTTTTGAGTAGGACTGCTGTATGCTGGGGAGTGGAGGTCAGAGTCCTGGACTCTTTGAGTCTCTGGGGCTCAGTTTCCTAATCTGCAAAATGAGGGAGGGACCAGGCATCTTTTAATGTGCCCTCCAGGTCTAATTTTAGGTTTTTATGAACCTATAAAGTTGTCAGTTAATTTAAGTGTCAGGAATTTTTGCTAAATGTGAAAATTACCATTGTTGGTCTTCCTAATTATTAGAAGAGAATCAGGATTAATTGACGTGTATGGAAAAGCCTCTTTTGTATTTTATCTGTTAGACAATCAGGTATTTTACCTATGAAGTTTGTTTAGCACATGAAGAGTGTAAGTATTTTTCAAGAGGACAAATGGTTTTCTAAAACTTTAGAAAGTTCTCCTTTCATGTAAACAGTTCACGTATTAATTAGAGATCATTCTCATCTGTTCACTAAAATAGGTCTTCAAGGAACAGTACTCAGGAACACCTTACCCTACAAACCTAAATGAAGTTATTATTTTAAAATAATAAAACTGCAGTTATTTGTTATATATCTATATAAAATAACTCATGACTTTTATATCACTGGGTTTTTAATAAATAGAGAAATAAAAAACAAGTCATGAAATTTTATATTATTAAAAAATTATTGAGGCGCCCTTGTTTTGTTAGCCTGGTTAACAACTTCCTGGTTCAGTTATCCTGGGAAATAGAAATTGTTTTAAATACTTTGGCTGATTGTCCCGTGTATACTTGTCTGCTCATGCAGAGTTCATAATTTGCTCTTCCTTTTTTTTTCTTCGCAGGTATCTTCAGCCACCAGGAACATGGATACAGTGTGCCTTAGAGTCGAGGGAACTTCTTACTTTGTGTTTGAAAAAAATCAAGGCCTGTTTAAGTAAGGTAGGCTGATTGCCTTCTAGAACTGGGTGTAAAGATCAGACTTTGGGAGCCCATTCATAGCAGGGGATAAATTAGAACAAAATGGAGGAATTTTAAGATTAAAAATAATTACAGGGGCAGCGCGGTGCAGTGGATAGAGCACTGGCCCTGGAGTCAGGAAGATCTGAGTTCAACTCTGGCCTCAGACACATAATACTTTCTAGCTGTGTGACTCTGGGCAAGTCACTTACTGAAAAAAAAAATTACACAGACTGGGCTTTCTGATTTGCTGGGGTTTGGTTTTTTCCTTGTATGGCTCTTTGCAGAGCACCAATATGGCCCCAAAGGAAAAGCAGAATGTACTTCAAGTGTTATTTTAGCAAAGAACTTGTGTGTTTGCATGTGTTTGCACTCATGTGTCTTTTAAACTTATAAATCACTTAACTCTTCCTTTACATGAGTTAGTTCAAGGTGTTTTAATAAATTACTGTTTATTACTGTTTCATGTTATTAATACTGAGAAGGTTTATCAGTAATGCCTATAGAACCATTTTGCTAAAAATTCTTGTTTGGAAAGTAGGCCACTCAGCATTTAAATAAATGGAGCTTCATAAATTGTGGCAGCGTTCAGTGACCTTTCACCTTTGCCTAGCACCTTTGTCCTTAGTGTATTATGCAAAGTAGGTAACACTGATAGCTTATTTTAAGTATAATCAGATTTTATAGATTAGCTTTGTTCCATCAAAGCTGAATTTATAAAAGCTCTGTTAGGTTAGAAGAAATTCATGTCACGTAAGGCTAGTCTAAGGATTACTAAGGTAATTTTTATTATTTGCACATACCTTGCCTCATCAAGCTTTTATCTACCTTTTTATATTTATAAGCACATGCTTTTTCATGGAAATTTTTTAAAAGGAAAATTGGCTTTCACTTGAAAGTCTTGATGATTTTTCATGGATGGAAATCCCTCCGCATCCAGTGTTTCTTCACAGTGGGGGGCGGTTTAGGCTGTCTGAGCAGTGCATGAGCCCTGGTGGGTTCTCCCACGCTGGAAGGCTTTGAGTGTGGTTCCAATGATAGGGGTCTGCTCCCTGGAGAACAGCCTGGCCATGTGTGGAGACTCGTCCCTAGAAGGCCAGCTGCTAAGGTGATGCAGGGGAAAATATAAACTGGCTGTCTGTACTTGGTAGCCCTCTTGGTGGAATGGGGGGCAAAGGTGCCCAGAATGACGGGGTGCTCAGACCTGTAAACAAGTACCTGAACACGTGGTTTTGTCTGGTGACCAACAAGTAGATGCGTGACCAGAGATGTCATCGAAAGTCAAGGACAAGGACTCCCACAGGCTGCAGCCAGATGGAAGGATAGATGGCTGACTCCGCTCTCCTCAGACACGTGAAAAGGGTAATTGGACGACCTGGAGGGTTTGCCCAGCAAGTTGGACTTTGGGCCGTCCCATCTGGCGGTGCTCATGGTGCCCACAGGCATGGGGACAGAGAATGAAGAGGTGTAGTACTTCACGCTGGAGTCAGCCGGGAGCCTGAGTCTGGCTGTACTTGTGTTGGCAAAGGGAGACTAGCAAAAACTATGTTGGGAAATAAGGTTTGGGATGAAGAAATAAGAGATTTGTCAAATCTCAAAAGGAAACCACCGGCCGAAATCGGGGGGGCTTCCTGGATCAGTGGGCTCTGTGGTTAGACAGTCAGCTGGCTAGAGAGAGAGCCAGATCAGTGCCAGAGAAGGAGACAGACCAGTAGAGAGACAGACATTATGTGTGGCAAAGGCCCAGTGTGGTTAAATAAGGTATAGCCTGAAAAACTAGAAGAGGACAAAAGGAGAAGTGTCGGCTGGGATCACTAAAAAGTTGAACAGATGTAAAGGAATTGCCGTGATAAGGCAGAGGGATGGGGTATGGGGAGGTGGCAGTGGGAATAAGCATTTTTAGAATCCCTGCCTGGTGCCAGGTGTGGTGCTGAGTGCTTTACAGATACCTCATCAGGCCTTCCCAATAACCCCTTCAAGTAGGTGTTGTTAGGATTCCCATTTTACCCATGACAAAACTGAGGCAAACAGGTTAAGTGACTTGCCCAGGGTGGATTTAAACTCAGGTCTTCCTGACTCTAGGACCAGCATTCTGTCCACTGCACCACTGACCTACCTTGGCATACAGGTAGCATCACCTCACAAAACAGCAACTGCAAAGAGTTTTTGGAGGGGTTGGCATGAGAGCTAGCCCAGCCCAGAAGGACATTTAAGGGTGGAATTGGTGGGCACCCGTTGGAGTGGGATGTCACCAGAAACCTGGACTGGTCATTTAATATATAGATGCTACAATTCAGATAAGGAAGAGGCCAAAGCACTGCTATCAGTCTAGATTTTTAAATAGTGCTTTCGTTCAGTGAAGTCTAGTTTCATTTAATTGGTTGCTTCAGTAGGCAGAATTCATATTGGTGTTCTGGAGAGCCCTCCAGCTTGTCAGGCAGAACTGCTTCATTTGTAGAGGATTGGCACATGGATGTTTGTTTTTCTATTCCCCCCCTTTTATTTTTTTTTTTTTACAAAAACTGTAAATGCTGAACATGATTGCAAATCAGGATTTTAACAACATGTTATATATGGTTTGGTCAGGAAGCAGCCAACAATGAATTTCAGAGCTGAAAGTGGTGAATAAAGTCTCGTGACTTAATGTGACCTGAATGTCTTGTATTGGTGTGAACAGACAGGACCTTACAGAAAGTGTCATCTGATAAGCTGAGAGAATTGGAAACATTGATGGAAAACGCTGAAGGAGGCCATTCCTGGCGTTTTTGTGTAACTTGGGTCATATTTGGGCAAGTCTGTTACGTCAGGTTTTTGAGAAGATAACGTCACTTTTCACATTCTCTGTTCACATTCATGTTCTCTGTTGACTTGATTTGATTTGGAATCAGAGTGACTTAAACATTCTAGAACTTGGATAGGTTAGTAAGCATTGCCCTCTCAGTGACATTGCTGAGAAGTGTCTTGAGTTTGGTTTTTGGAAACCCCAAAGTCACTTGGTGACTAGATGGATGAATGAACTGGATGCTGCTATTTCTGATTGACAGTCAGGTATGACCGTGAAGTCATTGCTGCTGCTTCTTGGAGGCTTTCCAAACACAATGTGGCCAGTTCACAGCAGCCTTGAGAGAAGTGTGAAAACCACCTCACCTTAGGAGGTCTGTCCATTCATTCCAGGCCACTCAGAATGACCTCCTAGTCACAGGTTTTGTTCACAGTCGGGCTCAGGAGCAGTCTCTTGGAGGAAGCCTCCCCCACTCTTCTCTGCATCATTTTCCCTGACAGCTAATTAGGAAATTACCCTCCACTCCAATTAGGCTGTGAGCTCCTGGGGAGCAGGGACTGTCATTTGCCTTTCTTTGTATTCCCAGGCTTAGCACAGTGCACAGCACACAGTAGGGGCTTCATAAGTACCTGTTGATGGACCTGGTCTGCTCTGTGTTTCATTTTCTGTTTTTGTGGTGTACTTCCCCACTCTCTCCAGTCAGGAGGGTAGTGGTTGGAGGCTCGTCTCCGGCTTGTTCTCTCTGTGTACTGAGCACTTGATGACCAGGGGCTTGTTCTAGCCTCTGTGAGAGTGAGCATGCGGGGTGTTATTTTAGACCAGACTTCTGATTTCATTGGTAATGGGTACTCCTGGTGAAGAAACTCTACCGATGCAGGGAAGCACCTGCTTTCCAAGTTTGAATCTGAGACAGTATTCCTTGGGCACGGGATTGGTTTGGTGACCTGCCCAGGGTCACACAGCCAGCAGCTATCTTGACCACAAGATTGGCTACTGGATCCCTATGCCATGTTACCTCTCCATAGACGTGTGGAATGGGCAGACAGTGCCTATGGGGGCCTTCCTTTGAGTGTGACCCTCTCACTGGCAGGGAAGGATGCAGGGCCATTGAGAACGGGAGCTTTCTCCTGAGCATCGTCTGTAGATAGTCAGCCCGGCTGGTCTGAGTGCTAGCTGGATGGTTAGTCTCTTGGCTCAGCCTGGGAACACTCCCTGACCTTCACTCAGTGGGTTTAGAATCAAAGCAGCATTGGCCAAGTGCTACGAGAAGGAAGAAGGAACCCGAGACGGTCTTGTGAATGGTGATCTCGTGCCTTGTAATGCATCCCATTCCTAGCACAGTGAGAATTCTTCCAAGGGACAAGCTGTCGTTTTGTTTCCCTTGGTAAACGTTGTTCCTTGTAATCTGGATCAGATCTACTGTTAAGGGATGGTTTTTGCCGATGATGCCCGTTCTCCCTCACTGGTCCTGCTGTGGTACCCATGGTGCCTGTGGCCTCTGGGATCTATTCTTTATTGTTTTTGTTTCAGTCATTTCAGTTGCATCTGACTCTTTGTGACCCCATTTGGGGTTTTCTTGGCAAAGATACTGGAGTGATTTGCTGTTTCCTTCTCCAGCTCATTTTACAGATGAGGAACTGTGTGATTTGCCCAAGGTCATACAGTTAGTAAGTGTCTGAGGCTGGATTTGAACTCAGGTCTTACTGATTCCAGGCCCAACACTCTATCCGTCGTACCAGTAGTAGATACTTGGCCTTTTTAGTTCTTGGAGCATCTTGTGAGATCTGTGCATTACTGAGGTCATTTCTTGAGGTTGTTTTTTTTCCTCGTCCCATTGAAGGTACGACTGATCGAAGCTGGCTTTATTTGGACTGAACCTCATTCCAAACGGCTTAAAGTCAAGCTGACTGTCCAGAAAGAGGTAAGTTAGAGAAGCTGGCCAGCTAGGGAAGCAGAAGTCCTGTTGCATTGAATGTGGTTCAGAAAGGGACCAGTGATTCTTTCATTAGAGAAAATGCAAATTGCATCATCATTAATCCTCTGCTTGTTTTGGTGTCACCTGTACACCTGGCTGGGCCCTCGGGGAAAGCAGACACCTGTGTACGAGGAAGAATGTAGGCTGACATTAGCTTTTGACAATTTTTTTCCAGCTAAAATAAAAATATCACCTGAGCAGCTCTTGTGTTTCTTTTGAAGATTGCTCTTTCCACCTCCCTCTCAATTTCCACAGTTGAATTATATATAGCTCATCCTTCTTCAAAGAAAAAATTCCCAAGTGAAACTGCTTTAATTTAAGAATATTTCATAGCCTTTGAAATGTTAATGTGAGACATCCTGGGGCTTAATCATTATATCTTTTTACTTTTTTGATCAAATAATCTGCCATTTTCTGCATATAGGATGTTAAATCTGGGTGGTTTATCCTTAATTAATATAAAATACATTCTGAAGGCACTTATGTGAACAAATTTTCGATTAAGGAAATGATGAGATAGTGTGGATTTGTGGGCCTTTCAGGTATTAACCGTGCTGTTGTATAAAATCCTGGCGCCACAGGGAAGGAGACTTCAGATTTTGAAATGGAAGTGGCTTATGCTGGGGATAAATGGACAGAATTGTTGGCTTTTTTCAACCCAGGTGATGAACGGTGCCATCCTTCAGCAAGTATTTGTGGTGGAGTACGTGATTCAGTCACAGATGTGTGATGCTTGCCACAGGGTGGAAGCCAAGGATTTCTGGAAGGCTGTGGTTCAAGTCAGGCAAAAGGTAAAACTCGTGAGATGAGGGATGACGGAAGTGCACCTTTCAGTGATCCTTATGATCATCTCCCAGAGTTGCTGAGATGGGAGATCCAGAGTAGGGCTGAGCCCTGCCCTTTCTCCCTTTCTCCCAAGACCTGGGTGCCCACAGGGGACTTAGTCCCTGCACTTTGAGATGTAAGGATTGATGAGTCATTAGTATTTTTGTCATAGCACATATTTACAAAGACGTCTCTGGTTTTTTTTTTTGGTGATCTGTATTACATTGATGTGCTATTTACAGTTGATTTTGTTTGTTGCTCTTTCACCTCTAAAGTTTGTTTTGGGTTTAATCATCTATCCATATTTTTGGATTTAAATTTAGACCTCACATAAAAAAACTTTCTACTATCTGGAGCAGCTGATCTTGAAACATAGAGCACATCAGAATACCCTTCGAATTAAGGAGATTCATGGTGAGTCGTAGATGAACTTGAATTTTAAAAGTTTGAAATTAAATTTTAATTTTCACCCCAAATTTCCTATTCCAAATCCAGCCTTTTCCCTTGTGGAACATTCCACACACTGTTTGTTACTTGTGAAGGATTGGGAAGGGGGGCTGCAGTAAAGAAGAAGACGTGAATTCTCTAGCTGGGGAGAGATCTGTCTCCTTGCAGTGCTGTTGTTACTGTTCTGGATGTCTCGAGGCATTGTGGATGGACGCAGCAGTGTGCCGGCACAAACAAGTCGTGGCTTGGGTTTGCCAGCCCAGTAAACGGCTTGGAAGCACTGCCTCGGTCCTTGGCTTACTGTGTGTCTTTTAAAAAGTCATTTAAAAGAAACAATAAAGCAGAGTATGCAAGTGCTGATTCCGTACTTTCTCCCTTATTGATAGGAAGGCATCATTAAAGGTGCCATTGACATGTTTCCTGGGACTTGATTCGTGGCTGCTTTGGGCTTTCTGTGTTAATAGTTCTGTGAAGAAAAGCATTACAAGTGGATGTTCTCTTGTTTGGAATGGTTGGCCAGCTTGTTAGGGAGGGCGCTTACTGGAGATGCCTTTTTTGTTTGTTTTCCTTGAAAGACGTAAGTAGAAGGAACATGTTCAGGGACCGTGATGGTGAAGTTATGGGTTCAAAGAATTGACAGATGAGGAAACTGAGGCTGATCTGGTCAAGTGACTTGCCCAGAGTCAAGGTGGCCACATCCAGGACCTTCTCAGTGTTCCACAGTTGACTACCTGAATCTTCAGTCCCATTAACACTCAGATCAAACTGTTAAAGACAGTTCAGTGAGTGATTGATTGAGGTCCCCCATCACATACTAGACTTCTCCTGGTTGGGGCTTGTGGCCGGCAAGCAGAAGGAGAAGTATTGGGCCCAGCCCCATACAGGAGTACACGAAGACCAAGAAAGCCCTGTTGTCTTCCTGGGTACTGCACTATTACTCATGATAAGAACTGTAACGTGTTAGTCCGAGTTCAGTGGGCGACCTTGCAGTTGAAAAAGTGTGAGTGTTGTCATCTAATCTGGAGGGAGTGCTGGTGGCATTAAGCAAAGATTGATGGCCTTGGCATTTGGAGACGTGGGTTAAATTCTGTTGTATGCACTTGCTGGTTGGGTGACCCTGAACAAGTTTCCTGACCTCGATCCTCCTCACTTTCCTCATCTGTAAATTAGGAATGATCATCCTCCCTGCCTTGTGAGGTTGTTGTAGGCAGAGCCCTTAAATGTTATGTAAAGGTATAAAATAGAAAGGCTTTTACCATTAGTAGTCTGTTGAGATGTTCCTTTTCACAGAGGCCTTGTTTTTCCTTTAAGATGGCTTGGATTTCTATTACGCTCAGAAACAGCATGCCCAGAAGATGGTAGACTTCCTCCAGTGTACCGTCCCTTCCAGGTACGTGGGAGTGGGCGGGGCCATGTGTGCTAGCTGCTGGTGGGTGATTTTACATGAAGGCTGCTTGTCAAGCAGACAATTTTCTCTTCCTGCAACATAGGCAAGCACAAACATGTGAAGTGGCAAGTGTTGATGTCACTTCATTAGAAATGCATGTATTTTAAAGCGTCTCTTGGGTGTAGAACGGCCCCTTACTCGCTGCAGAGACCAGCACAGGGTAGGGAAAAGGCTTTGTGGGAGCAACAGTCCACAGTGTGTGCCCTTCTGCTCACATAAGCCCTCACTCCTTTACTGAGAGGCAGGGGAGCGGCAGGTTTCGTGGTCAGTTCTGTGGAGTTGATTGGGGATTCTGTTTTCTCTGGATTCTGATGGATCGGGCTTTTTATATTGTTGTAGCCGCAGTGCATGTTGCCCTTCAGTCGCCTATCAGGTGGACTCCCTGCCTCCAGGCTCTTCTCACTGCAATCCATCCTTCACACAGGTCTCACTGTGTTACACACACACATGCACAAATGTACATACACATATACACACCTCTGTAAACTCTGGGGGCTCTGTATTACTTCTGGGACTTAACCCGCTGTGTGGCCTGCAAGGCTCTTTACAGCCTGGAAGCTTCTGTCTTTCCAGTAGGTGACACGTTATAGCCCCCTTGGCACTCTGTGGTCCAGTCTCCCTGTTACCCTCAGCTTCCTCAGCTGGTTTGAGCTGAGTCCCCTGCCTGCAATGCCCTTTACTTCCTTCTCTGATCCCTGGCTTCCTTCAAGACTCGACTCAAATGGGACCTCCTGCACGAGGCCTTTCGAGGTCCTCTTGACCTCTGGTGCGCCCCCCTCAGACTGTCTTCTGTTTCGCAGGAATACAGGTCTGTGTATATGTCATCTGCCCGGAGATCCCCGTCCCCTCTGTGTTTGGGTCCCCAGGGCTCAGCCCTGGGGTGGGCAGGCTCAGCGCTTGATAAAGGCTTGTCAATTGGTTGGTGACTCAAGGTTAACTTCTTTATTTCTTTAATTTTTAGATCCAAATCTTCACAGAGACTCATCTCTCATGACATTCATAGCAATACATACAATTACAAAAGCACTTTTTCTGTGGAAATTGTTCCCATATGCAAGGTAACCCTTTCTCCACTTGATTAATCTGTAAGAATTCAAAATCAACACTCAATGATGCAAGTTAGAAAATTAGCTTTGTTCTCTTTTAGTTTTAAAACTCCTGCCTGATTCATTTCCTTTGTAGAAGAGTTGGGGGAGAACTGTCTGTAAGATTGTGGTGGAAATGATTCATTCACATATCTGAGTACGCCAGGAGGCAGGAGCGCAGCCTGGTAGCTGTCCTAGTGCTGAAACGTCTGCTAAGAAATAGGAAGAGTGGATGCTAGGTGATGAGTTTAGAACAGGCAGTAGTGAAGTCCTGGTCAGGGTTGTGGTTCAGGAAGTGTCTCTTTCCTTTAGGATTTGGGCAAAAAAGACATTTAATAAGGGCCATTAAAACCCTGGCGTGTAATAAATAGTGACAGTAATAATAGTTAGATAATAGTTAGAATTCATATGGTGCTTCGGATTAGCACATTTGTGCTTGACATAGGATATTTCATCTAATGTGAAGTCGGTGCTATTCTTATCCCTGTTTTACAGATGAAGAAGTTGAGGGTCTGAGAAGTTGAGTGATTTGCTCAGGGTCCCACAGCTCAGAATTGTCTAAGGCAGGATTCAGACTCAAGTCTGCCAGCCTCCCGGGCAGCACTCTGCCACCTGCGCCTTGAGAACTTGAGAATGATAAACTCTCCCATCTTCAAAAGCCTGTGGTGGCTCCCCATTGCTTCCCAGGGGCGGAAGGCCAAGCTCTTCCCCCTGGAATCCAAGGCCTTCCCAAGATGGCCTCAGGGCAGCTTTTCAGCCCCTGCTCCCCCCACAGCCCCAATGGAAGCTCCTCGGTGTCAGGGGATCTCTCTTTTTTTAGTTTAATTTTTGTCCTCGAGTCCCCATTGCCTGGTTCGGTGCTTGCAAATCGGAGGCACTGAAGAAATGCTTCTTGAATTGCTGATGACGTCACCCCCATAAAGAGTGGAGACCCTCCCTTCTTTCCTGGTGGTGCCTTGGACTTTGTGGTGTCCTCGCCCTGCACGGTTGAGTCTCACAGAGCCAGCATGCATCTGGCTGCTTTTTTGTCGTCTGTGTTTCCCTTCCCTCCAGCCCTCCCCCAGCCCTCTGTGGCCAGGCTGGTCATCAGTGGCCGTGTTCAGCCAGGGCAACGCTGGGGCTTGGGAGGCTGAGGGGCCTTGCCAGCGTTAGAGTGGATGGACTCTGAGCTTGGCCTTGGCTCGTTTCCCTGCACCTTAGGCTGTGCAGCAGAGCCGAGTCATGGGGCCTGGCTCTGCGACCCTTCGCTGTCACATGAGTGGGTCACCCTCCATCTCCTCAGTGCCTGGCCTTGGAGCACTAGGTTCTTTGGTCCTTGAGGAGGCTGTCTAAGCCATCACTCTATCACTGCTCCATTGGGTACAAGAGATGGCTCCATTTATGACCAGCAGCAAGAGGGTGCAGTGGACAGATCTGAGGACTTGGAGTCAGGAGGACTCAATTCAAATCCTGCTCGGGTGCTGTTGCCTCACTGCTCTCTGCCTCAGTTTTCTTATCTGTAAAAGGGGACATAAACAGTGCCTGTCTCACAGGGTTGTTGGGAGTATCAAATGAATTAAGTCAAGTGCTTTGCAAACCTTAAAATGCTCTGTAAACGTTCACCATTTGTTAGATTTGTATGTTTTTGTCAGATTGAAGTAAATGGATTATACCTGGATGTTATTTCTGTCACTGTCTAAATTAAAGCTTAGGTTCTGACTCCCTTTTAGCTTAGGAGTAGTTGAAAGGATAGAAGCTAATGAGAACTTTGAAACTTCAATGTCTTTTCATTCCTTCACAGCACAAACCTTTGTCGAAAGCTGGCTATGCACACATTGCTGTGTTTGGTGTCGAGGGGAAACAAATGTTCAGGACTGTCCTTGGGGCCTGTAGTTCAGTGTAGGAGACATGTATCAGGCATGTAAGTGAATCTCTCTGGTCTTAGGTGCCCTGTGAGGGGCTCAGACTCAGTGGTACCAGAGTGCAAAGGTAGAGAAATTCATTAGACACTTTATTCTCTTAACAAATGAGGTGCGTCATCCTTGGGATCAGTTTGATTTTTTAAAAATGTAGTTGTCAGAGAGGTCCCTTCCACCTTGAACATTCTCCAGGTCAGTAATTCTATTTTTATGTGTATTGGAGTTTTAATTCCTGATTCTTCAGTTGATATCTTTTTATTTGTGTATTATCTCTATATAGATGTAGATGTAGAAAGATAGATATTTCAGTGTGAATTGTGTTTGAGTAAGGCATTTACTTCTGTCTTTACATATCAGTGTATTTGGCAGATTGAGAGATAAATATTGCTTTGGTTGAATTTTTATTCTTATGGATGTTTGTGGAAGGTATGCATTGCCTAAGATCGGGTACATGTTTGCAGAATAATGTTGAATGGGTTTGTGATATAAAAATGTAATGTCATTGGGGGCTCTCAGTTCTGTATCTGAATAAAGTGGTAATAAAATTGTAGCAGTGCTGAAAAGAGAAGCTGGCTGATTTTAGAGCGTTTTTGTTCAGACAAGATCTTATGTCTAGTTTTCAGACTAAGCTCTTTAGTTTGGGTTGGGCTGATAAATTTTGGAAAGATGCACATTGGGGGCCTCTTATTTGGGGCTCATATTCCTTGTAAAAATCATTTCTACTTATTTCTGGTTCCACACAGGACAATGTTGTGTGTCTGTCTCCAAAACTGGCACAAAGCCTTGGGAACATGAGCCAGATTTGTGTTTGTATCCGAGTTACCAGTGCCATCCACCTCATTGATCCAAACACATTGCAGAGTAAGGCTTGCTTTTGTTTTTGTTTTTTTTAATTTTTGTATTAAAAATAGTTTTGAAGGTTGTACTTCTCTGGATGTAGCAGTAAATGGTGTTCTTTATTGTTAAAACCGTTCATACTGTGCCTTTAAATTACATAATTCTAATTCTTGGAAAACCTTGTTCTTAAAAATGGGAATTATAACCACTGCAGGAAACTTATTTACAAAAGGGGAATGGAAATTGGATTGGGAAGAAAGCATTTGATTAAAAGAACCCTATAGTATCATTTGATAATGTTTATAGAAATTGTCTCTTCTATTATTCCTTAAAATCTTTTCTTGTATAGATGTTTCATTCCATTAACTTTTACTGAAATTAGATTGTGTTTGTTCTCCAGTTTAATTTTTGTGACTGATTCATTTAGTCTCATGGCCACATTTCAGTGTATTTGAAAGCATTCAGTGTTTGGAAAGCAATTTATTTTTTGTGATGGAGTGGAGATGTGGCATTACTTAGATTGTTAGCTAATTCCATCATTATCCTGGAATTTAGATAAAACTCATTTGGAAACTTCCATTCCAGAGGAATGATCTATTAAAGCAAGTTATTTTTATTCATTTTGGCCTGCTTTTATTTTTTAAATGTGTAATTTTATTTTTAAAAACTTAATTTGGAATTTTTCTTTAACATAAATTTGACAGAAATGAATAGTCTCTAGATAAGAAACAACAAATGACCTTGATATAATCTATATGTAGAGCAAAATTGATGATAGAAAAGGACCCATTGGGCCTCATCTTTATAAGAAATTAATTTTTCTTACACACTTCCCTTGAGACAGCTGAGGTCATGGCTGTCCCACTCTATCCCAGCCTGCTGGGGAATAGAGACAGCTTGTGGTGCAGCACGTTGAAGCCTGTGGACAAACCCGTGGTGTCACTGAACTCGCTTCCCCTTGTCTCCTGCATGGAGTGGTTGGTCATCCCTCAGCTTGTTACCCGACCTGTTAACATTTGGTCACTATCCATTACTCAGAGAAAATCATCCATGAGAATGAGCGGCCTGTGTTCAGAAGGCCCTGAGAGGCACCAGAGTTTGGGGGATGAGTTTAGAATGCGTCTGTCCTCACGTTTCTGCAGCTCATCTGGAGTGCCCTGGGTCCCTTTTGCTTTGCCCTTACTGGCTGTCTTGGTCTCTTCTCTGTAGTTGCTGAGATCGATGGGAATACCTATTGGCGCTACCCGTTCAGTAGCTTGTGCCACCCCAAGCAGCTGGAGGAGTTTATCGTCATGGAATGCAGCATCGTTCACAATCAAAAAGCCGTGCCAGGGGCTGGTGTGAGATCAAATAAAGTAAGCCTTGCCCACCTTCCCCCAGAGCTTGCATCATTTTCTGGGCAGATTTTTATTCATGGGTTGTTCTGAATCTGGGTCACCTTCCTGAGAATAGGCCTTTTGGCAGGAAAATATGTATAGTCATAAAGTCAAAAAGAGAACTGTTGACATATTGGGAGGACCCTGTGATGCTTTGTAGAAATGTAGACGCCAGGACCCTCGTTGGCTCAACTCTGTGGTTCCTGCTTTCTGGTTGTGTTTACCACCTGCTTACCTTCCGCTCCGTGCGTGTGCCCCTGGGATCTGTGATCCCTGGTGTGAGTGTTCCAGCCTCTCACACAATCCATGGTGCATTGTCCTCCCCCTTGGGGGCCAGCTGGCATTGGGGTGCAGCTTCTGATGGCTACTGCTGATGAGCCAAGAAGCCCCGGTTCCAGTCAGTGCACTGGTGGGGCCTCGTAGGAAGCCGGGCCAGTTAAAATGCAGACCTAGGGCTGTCGTAGCTGGAGGGTCCTTTGGGAGCAGCTCTGGGCCAGGATTCGTCTTGTCTGGTTTTCCCAGCCCCTGAGGGCTTCTGCACAGGACAGCTGTAAAGTCAGTAGCACCCCCCTCTGCTCCTGCCTGTTTCCCCGCTGTCCTCCAGAGCCCTTCGTACTGCCCTGTAGTGGCTGCCTCTCCCTTCACAGCCTGGGAACAAGGCTCTGCTCTTTGCCGACTCTGATGGCTCCCTCTCACTGCGCCCCAGCCCTGACTTTTCCCTGTGCCCCTCGGACAGCTCACTGAGGTACCGAGCTTGAAAATCCAGTTATTCTGTACAGTCCTTCACCCTCTGGAGTCAGAGGAGCTGGGTTCAAATCCTGCCTGTGGTGAGGACTGAAGTCACGAGCTTTCTGGGTCACACAGTTTGTTTATCTATTAAAATGGAGGGGTTGAATTTAGATGGTCTCTGAGGTCCCTTGTGGCTCTTGATCTGTGACCTGGGAGCTTCTTCCTACTGTCCTGATGGATGGTTGTTGGGTTCCGTGGAGCTGCCTTTAACTGGGACCAGCAGACCATGGGTCATCTGCTTGAAATCAACTGGTCAGTCAGCCAGCATTTATTAACTTCCTGCTGTGTGTGGGACACTGGGGAAATGAAGGCAGAAAGGGAAGCCGTCTGTGTCCTTTGTATGCTTATGTTCCATCAGGAACCACATGGTGCACATCTGCAGATAGGCTTTAGACAGCCACGTGAGAAGCCTCCCGCTAGAGCCTACGGGCAGGGAGGCTGAGGGCACAGTTATGGACAGTGCCCAGATGCTGGGGGCGTGGAACGGTGCAGACAGCAGGGGATGCCCTTGTTCTGGCTTGGAAATTCTGTTTTAAAGGTGTGTGCATTTTTTTAACTGAGAGAAACATTCTGAGTCAAACGTCAGTTAGTTGTTAAAAACTTTTGATGGCGAATCCATAGGCGGCATTCAAAATACTTCCATCAGGAAGTAGAAAATACTTTCCATTGGGAGAAAATTGATGTTGCGTTTCTGCATGTTAGCAGGAGGTTCATTGAGCTGCGCCCAGGTGACTAAATGGGCCATTCCCTTTTTTTGTCAAGCACATGCTCGGGGATGTCTGGGTGCAGAAGACTTCGGAGATGCATACGGACAATCAGTATTTCTGCCGGACTCATTTAGGACATCTTCTGACCCCTGGAGACCTGGTGCTGGGGTCAGTATGGCTTTATGGGCTTTTCCACTGCGTTTTCCATGGCAGCAACTCTAGGACTCAGCCTAAAGAGATTCGCTGTCATGTGAACTTCATTTGCATTCTTGTCGCTAATTACAGTTATGGCTTAGGTGTTCTTTCAGAGGGCTCCAGGGCTGTGAGGAGGCCTGGGCTTGGAGTCAGGGGAGTTGTGGGTTTGAATCTCACCTCTGGCCCTTGTCAGAGGGGAGACCGTGGATGGGTCACTTGACCCCTGAGCCTCAGTTGTTCCTGTCGGTAAAACTGAGGTATGAATCCTTACAGGAATGATTTCCTAGGAGAATAAATATAAAATCTTCTTCTTGGGTCTAAAAATCAACAGAATGGAGGAGAGACTGTTCTCTTTGTACTGGCTGGTACCAGACCATCCATTCTCAAGACCAAAGACTAGTACGTGTCTTCTGCCTCCTTGGCCGCCGTGTCTGCTTCTTATACAGGGGTATTTGCACAGAACAGAGGTGAGGGATTGATAATAACTCCACTTGTCCCTTTGCCCGGGAAACTCAGAGGCCTTTTGTCTTCTGAGCAGCAGTCTTTTGGGAGAACCTGTAAAGGAGGAGACACCAAATGTGGAAGAGTGAATGCCCTAGTGATGAAATTTTCACTTTCTCCATTTTAGGTTTGACTTGGCTAACTGCAACCTGAATGATGAGTATGCCAACAAAATGAACAGCCATCATGTTCCCGATGTGGTGAGTAAGGCACTGGGGTTTCCCCACCTGTGTCTTTTTCCTTTGTTCACCCTGGTATAAAATGTGCCAGCTTCTTCTTTTTAAAAGAATGGGGCTGTTTTAGATCTTGAGAATGGGAAGTTGAGGTAGCCTGTGAGCTATCCTGTGAAAGCTGTTTGAAAAGACATCGGTGTTCCTCCTTTTCCTAGAAAGGGTAAATACAAGAGTTAGAGGGTTTGGTCCCTTTTTTCATCAACCATTTTTCACAAAATGCCTTGGGTCATCTTAATTAACTCTCTTAAAATCCTGTGATACACCACAGATTAGAGTTAGTTGGGGCTGTAGAGTCAGGCAGGAATGTTTTAGAAGAATAGATTTCGGACCAGCTCTTCGCTTGCCTCATTTTTCATTCCACGCACTACCCAGAGCAGTGTCTAGAAGCAGAAAACACGACTTCTTGGCAGAGGTGAAGCAGCACCATTATAATATTAGACTTGATGGATGAGACTGCTTTTGGTCCCCTCTTTGTGATAAAGGGTGGTTCTCGGGGAAAGAGGGAGAAGAGGTTATTGGGAAATGAAGGCAATGTCAAAACAAAAGGTATCAATACAGAGGCAGTATTCCAACTTGAACATAATTGCAGTAGACAGTAATCTTCAAAGCATCAAGGCCCAATGGCTCTTTAAAATCTTGATGAGTTTGTAAAAGGAAAAATATGAAAAGCACTAAGTGTGAAATTGGTGTGGAAAGTCCTCCATCCGCCTCCTTGTTTGATATTATTAAGCAGGTATTGGTTTTCTTAGCAGACGGTGGAAGTGAAGTCATGGTAATAGAGAGAAACAAACCGTCTGCTTTTACATATCTTTTCATAGACACAAGAGACTGAACCATTGTGTAGGTGTAAGACTAATAGAAATAAACAAAGTAGATTTAGTGAGTTTCTCTCTGACTTAATAATTTGTAAAATTATGCCTCTTGCTGCGTTTGTATAGAGTGAAAAATTGGGCCAGCTGCCTTGGTGGGACAGATACTGAAGGGGCTGGGCCGGAGAGACGTGGAGGGCCGTGGTTCTGGTCCCCGCTGCCTCTTGGCACTTGTGGGCCTTTGACACTAGTTGCTTTCTAAATGTAACTTTAAGATTATTCTTTGGTATGTAGGTATTAATCAAAAAGAGTTACGACCGTGCCAAACGTCAGCGTCGCAGGAACTGGAAGCTCAAGGAGCTGCATAGGGACAAAGAAACCATGGATACAGACGATGAAAGGTATGGTTTGGGGTTGAACATTCTTAATGGGCAGCCTCAGGAAGCAGATGCTGAATGGGGAAAGTCCTGTGACAGATACAGTTCTTTCTGGCTCTACAGCTCTGATTTTATATAATCTAACTTTACAGAGTAGGAAAATTTGCTTCTGGAGAACAGATGGGCCAGGGTAGTTTGCAGGAGTGTCATGGCTCTGCTTACGACCACCCTTGTGTACTTAGGGTCACTCCTTCTTTTGACCTTGTGTTCCCCTCCCCCATTTTAGGGGCAGCCCTTGTCACTTCTCTGGCCTGGCACCTGGGAGAGATGCTGGGCTGCAGTTCAGGGCAGCTCTTGTTTCACGTTGGAAGCGTGGACAGAGGGAGGGGTAGGATGAGGTGGGCTGAAAGACTGGTGATCTTAGTGGACGTGCAGGTGGAGGGGGACGGAGGGTGCATCTTCCAGAAGGAATTCTTTCACACATGGGGAGAAAATCTTGCTAGTCCAAGATTTACTGAATTCTGAAGAGGTGAGACTTACTGCTAAACTTCCTGTTCATCCCATCATTCAGTTTTAATCACAGTGAAACCAAATCCCGTAAGTGCAGGTTTGTGAACCAGTACTGGGATCCAGAGAGGTTAGCTAGAGTAGGAATGAAGTGGACAGCAGAGGCAGGCTAACACAAAGACTGATCAGGAATAAAATAGAGATTTTAAAAAGAAGGCTCTAAGGTGTTAAATGTGTTAAACATTTTTTTCTTTAGAATTGGGTTTTTATGGTAATCCTAGATTATGCTTACCACAAAAACAGTTTTAGGAAAATAAGCAGACTTCCCAGGAATTGTTGCTTTGAGCCTTGTTGGCTGTGCGGGCCCAAGCTCGGGATGGTGGGTACAGGAAAATGGATGAGAGACATAGTTGGAGGGAAGATGTCTGGGGCGGATGCTTAGGAGACCCTTCCCCATGCCCTGTAAATAGGTTCGCTTACATAAGGAGGTCATTTTGAAAGTCACATGTATTTTCTCACTACCTCCTATCATGTTTGCTGGAATTGCATAGTTAGGTTATCTTTAGCTGTTTCACAAATAAAGTTAGGAAACATCTGAGACAAGGTGGTGGTCCTCAAACCGGTGACCAGGGCTTCTGGTCTAGGCAGCATTTTCTAGTAAGATTGGCTCCAGGTCAAGCATGAGGCTGCCCGGGATTTAGCCCCTCTGCCCTCAGCACTTTGTAAAGTGCACAGTCTCCATGGCTGTGAGTTATTATTTTTATTAATATTGTTATTGACCTTCATATTATTAATATTGCTTAGTTTCTTAACCACCTTAGGCCTCTCTAACTAATTGGGTTTCTTCATCTGAAAAAGAAAGTTCTTTCCTGAGCTACCTTTTTTGTAAGGATAAAGTGAGAAAAACAGAGTTTTGGAGCAGATGAGGACCATCTATTATAAGTAAAAAGTGCTGTTATTACAGTCAGTGCATCATTATCTGCACTCACGTATGCTTTGCTTCATAAGTCCTCTTATGCCTTAGAGTGTGAAGGGGAACTTTGGGTTCTTGAAGGCTGGGCCTAGAGCATGTCAGCCCTGGCAAGTCTTACCAAGCTAAAAAAGCCTAGAATACAGGCCCAGTTGTTGGAAGATCAGTTGTGCTAAGTTGAGAAAAAATTGGCCACCAGGCGGCGAGATTTTTTGTTTCGGATCGTAGCAAGTCATGAGGATATCTACCCAGGCATGGAGGGTTCTTGGGCTGTTATCAGTGGGTGGGGTTCCCACACCAGGGAAACCACAGCTAGTACTGTCTCCCTTGTGTTCATATGTCTGTCTGTGCTTGAGTAAGACGATGGGTGAAGCTTAAACCTGGGAAAGAAGTCAGCATTTCAGTTCAATAGACTGAATCATCATTTTGCCCGGGAGAAAAACATTCATTCTGCATTTGGTACCTATACTGCATTGCTCCAGGTGGTGCTGGAGGGTATACAGTTGTATGTGAGATGTGTGTATTACCTTCAAGGAAACTGTCTGGTAGGAGTATTAGGAGGGAAGTACTTTAGAAAATGTTCACTTCGCAGGTGGGATGTAGAGTGCTTGAGATAAGGGAGAGCTAAGGTCGAGGGGAGGTGGAGGAGGTGGGTAGAGGGTTGGTTCGAGGTAGGCATCCAGACGGAGGTTGCTTTTGCCCCTTCATCCTGAACCTTGAGTGTTGGATTGGAGGTCAGCAGGAAATGGCTTGGGGGTAGAGGGGTGGAGAGTGTGCTAGATATAGGGCTAGTGTGAGGGCAGGAGTGGGGAGTGCAAGCTGAAACTGGAAAGAGGTGGGTTGGAGCTGGCTTGTGGTGGGCCTTGAAGACCAGGCCAAGAAGTGGGGATTGATTTGGTAAGTGATGGGCAGCCAGGGAGTTCTGACCCCAAAGGGGAAAGATAGCTGTTCAGCTGTCATCCGGCTTCCCTTTGCTCTCCAATTTTCCTTGCTTCCTCCCACTTTTGGGGTGTACGATGTCTCAGCTCTCAACAGAAGGCAGATGACTATAATGCTCCAGGTGAGCAGACTTCACCTTCCCCGAGGGAGGGGAAGTGACTAAATATATGTTTTAAAAGCTCTTTTCTCCCAGCTCCTGCTCGAGAAGCTTTTTTATGTCTGCAGAAGCCTTAATGTTATTGCCTACTTTGTGGAAGTACTTGAAGGTAATTTGGATAAATTGAGAGTTGGCTACATTGTTACTATTGATGTAAGTAATGAAAAGCCTGAAAACCTTGGGTTTTAAAAGTAACTTTGATGGATGTGCTCTCTTTTGTGTATGATAAAAAAGGAAACCTCCATGAGCAATGAGGGAAAAGTAAAGATATTGTCTAACTGGGAAGAAATAATTAACTTTGCAGCAAGTTCATGCTTTTGAACTCCAAGCATTTTAATCTTCAAGCTTTATGTAGTCTAATAAAGGTTGACAGTAAGAAGAATGAAAGTACTTGGAATATGAATAGTTTGGATCTAATTTATTATTTTCACTTTGAAAAATGGAAAAGTGTGATAGATTCTTAAGAAGTCCTAATTCATTTAGAAAGTAGGACATAACTGTTCTGCCTGTTAGATATGTTAATGTTAAAAACAGATCAATCAAAAGTAATTAGCCATTTTGAAGAAGAAGTAACTAAATATTATAATAGGAATAATACTCCATCACTTGGAAGTGTCTTCAGTTTCCTGTCTCTGCATGCTCCCTCCACCCAGCCACCTCTGCACCTTGATGGGCTGCTCTTGGGCGTGATTTATGGGGGAAAAAGTCTTTGTACTGGGTGGCTGATAAGCAGCCCGGTGGGAAGCCTCTTCAGACAGGGTTGGTTGATTCCCAGCCCACGTCAGGATTCTCACACAGTCTCTCTAGTTTGATGTCCTCCCGGAGCTTGTGATCTGCTGGCACAACTTTGACAAGCCTCGGGTCACCTCGCCACCCTAGTAGGGAGCGTGTATGGATTGCTCTCAGCTTTGGGAAGCGCTGCGCATTTCTTCTCTTATTTTATCCTCACCACAACCCTGGGAGGTGGGTGCTGTTGTTATCCCTGTTTTATAGATGAGGTGGTAATGAGGCATCAGCTCAGGACATCGGTGGAGGAATGCGCCATTAAGAAACCCATCTGCCTTTCTTTTTCCCTTGACCCTCTGACTCTTTTTACATATATTTTATTGGTAATTTGAAAGTGAAAGTAAAATGTGATCCTTTAAAAATATTGCTTTATGTTTTATTAACTTTTTACTTTCAATCTTAAAATCTTTTCCCTAAGGTTTCACCATTGCCTACTCCTTGGTTTCAGAACATCTTCTACTCTCTGTGCTTAGAATAACTGTAGTTCTGGGCCAAAGTTGGACTCTGTTCTATTAAGTTGTGCAAATATTCTTCTACAGGCAATACCAGGACTTTCTGGAAGACCTGGAAGAAGATGAAGCAATCAGAAAGAACGTCAACATTTATAAAGGTTAGAATTTGAGTCAATTCAAAAATTATGTTGTCTCGTTGGAACTAGTGTGTCATATTTTTGGCATTTGACTGGGTTGTCACCTTTTTGATAAATTAATTTTTTTTTCAATTGTCTAGCATTTATTTTTTTCTCCCACTTCTCCCTTGCTCTTTCCTGGGGGAAAACCCCCCAACAACTTTAAAACATGTATAATCAAGCAAAACAAATTCCCATCTTGGCCATATCCTAAAAGTGTGTGTCCCGATCTGCACCTGGAGTCCACCATCTCTCTTTTGAGGGGCTTCATCAGCAATCCTCTGGAATTATGGTTGAGCATTGTGGTGATCAGGGCTCTTTAAACCTTTCAAAATTGTTCGTTTTTACAATGTTAGTGTTACTATATATGTTGTTCTCCTGGTTCTGCTCATTTCCCTGTGCATCAGTTCTTACAAGTCTTCCCAGGTTTCTCTGAGACCATCCCCTTCCTCATTTCTTACAAAAGTATTGCATCACATTCACATACCATCCTTTATTCAGCTGTTCCCTGGTTGATAAGCACTCCTTGGGCCTTCACCTTTTAAATTTGGTTACCTCAAAGTAGTTCTAGTTGATTGTTTTATTCCATAAATGTATTTGAAGGACAGTAGAACTCCAGATAGGCCTGGTTTGCACACGTTCAGAGGCCTTGTAGGTCCCAACATGTTCCTCCAAGCTTCAGGTCCCTATTTTGGCGGTGTGAGCAACTTGCATGGCTGCTGGGGTTCTTGGTTGTTGTAGATGCCAGTGGCGGCATCCCATAGACCTTGGTTGTAAAGCCAGAGTTCTTCAGGTTCTTTGCTAAGCATTGCCCTTGGGGGTGGGGTATGAGCAGTGTAGCGGGAGGGGATCAGTTCTCCAAGGAGTCATGGTTGTCTGCTCCTGAGACAATGGGCATGGACAGTGTTGGGGTTTGGAATTGACACACTCTCTCCCACAGATGTTGGCTGAAAGTTGTGTGTGGCCACAGTGCGTTTGACAGTGCGTGGGGATGAGACTCTCATTGTTCTCTCTTTTCTCCCTGTCTCTGCTCATCACCTCTGCCCTGTGGTTTCTCAGCCTCAACGATCCCTGTGGAGAGTGATACGGATGATGAAGGAGCCCCTCGAATTAGCCTGGCAGAGATGCTCGAGGACCTTCACATCTCTGAAGATGCCACTGGGGGAGAAGGGGCGTCGATGATGACCTGATGAAATGAACCAAGTGATGGACTTCGCTTCCTCATCTGGAAAATGAAGGCTTGGACGAGGAGATCTCTGAGATCCCTTCCTGCTCTTTAATTCTTTGTTGCTATAAAATATTAGGCCACTTGAAAAAGGAAAAGGTTTGAAACCTAAAAAAATTGAGCAGAATTGAGTGCTTGCCTGCATGTCACAAAGGAAATAAAGCTAATGGTGGATCTAAGCTTTTGGGGAAGGTTTCTGTTGGATACATGGCAGCCCAGTTACACTTACCACATGTCACTTTGGAGTTGGCAGAGATTTCTTTCCAAAGGGGGAAATTTTTTTAAACTTTATGAATGTCGTAGGGAAAAATAGATACATTGTAGTATCTGTTATGGTGTTCACATTTCCAAATTCACCTTTGCGCTTATTTTTCCCCTCATGTCTTCCAGTCTTTTCCCTCTCTAGAGCTTGCCACGATTGTCCTCTGGCCTACTACCAACAGCCCCCCTCCCTCTCTGATGAGCTTTGTTTTTTGACTTAGGTCCTTGGAAGAATCATGCCATGCCAGCTTCTGCCCCCTTTAGCTCTTCCCAAACCAAAGCCTCCCAAACCAGTACTCTAGAAGAGAGGTATCAAAACATGTCCTGCAGCCTCCCAAGTGTGACCAGAACCAGATTAAAATGTGATTGGGAAATATTTAACAAAATAATTAAAAATATAATCATAGACAACAGTGTTTTAAAACTAAGTCAATACGCAGTCTGTGGGGATCCTTCTGTGTGGATTAGGGCCTCCATTTTTATTTTGAAAAATGTTTGACACCTTTTGGGGAGGAGTGTTGGCCCTTTTCATTAAAGATGCATTTGTTTTTTTGTTCATAAACTTTTTATACCATTTCCTGCATGCTCACATATATAAGTGGATCTGGGGCCTCAGTGATTTAGGGGCTCCCTCCAGTGATGCCGATTGTATCTCTGGCTGCCCATGGGCCTGCGTGGCTTTCGTTCTTGTCCCTCCCAAAGTTTGGCACGCAGTATTCATCCAGCATGCTGAAACATAGTAGGTACTTTGTAAATGCTTGCTGACTGGAGAGCTTCCTTATTTTTTCTCAGCATCTCCAGGTCTGCAGTGGAACGCTCCGACTGTCCACCTATCCTTTCTCCATCTTCTGATGTGACCAGTCCGTCTGTCCTTCCTCTCAGACAATTCTTGTGTGGCATCCTGCGTTCCTGTTCTTCCTCATCTTGCTCATACCATAAGTCTCTCCATTTCTGTGTGTGACATTCATATTTTGTTCTTCCGTCAGTGGTCCATGTCTTGCCATATAGAAACACTGGTAAAATGTTAGCACATTAACAGACCATAACTGAACCAAGTTAACCAAGTTCAGTTATTCATAGGTAATAACTGAACCATGAATTTAATACCAAGACATATAACAGGAAAATGTAGATTTGCGGGGTGTTAACTCACTACTGTGGACATGTCCTTTGCAAAATTCAGACGGAAGAGATTCTCCATTGGCGCTGACGTTCTCCAGATGACTCTTTTAATCTGTCACTAAACTGCATCAGGTCCAAAATCACCCACTGGTTTCTCATACACTCCCTCCTGCCTTTCCCTGTGACCCATGGTGGTCTTCCTCTGGTTGGCAAAGCAGGCTCAGGAGATTGTGGGTTGCAGGTGCTCCTGGCTGCGTGGGCCTTCACTGAGACGTTCTCTTCTCTTCCTGTTTGGTTGAAGCGTCTCGGGAAATTGTTTTTGGCTGTCAGTGCTCTTCTGTTTGTTCACTTTTATCTTCCTTTTAACTCCTGTCTTTTTGTCCTCAGGGGAATCAGGGCAACTTGCCCAGACTTTTAAGTTTGTTCTTTCTGCCCATGTGCACCCTGATTTTATTTTTGGTGAATGTTTCAGTTACAAACTGCTTTACTCCAGTGTTTCCATTTTTTAATAAAATTAGATTTATAAGAATTACCTTTTGATAGTTAATTGCCAAAAAAAATTTGATTTGATAACCAAATTAAAACCAGATTAACCAAGTTAATTAGCCATATTAAAGACTGGGTGTTGCCTACCTGTAATTAAAGCTCACACAAGATTCCTTGCTATAAAGAAAGAGGTGATCTTGTTTAGTGTTTCTCTGGTGACGAGTATCAATTTCTTAGAGTGTTTCAGTGATCTATGTGTGACTACATTAGTTGGTTATTCCCCTCATAGACATGTTAGGACCACAGACTGCTGGATGTTCTTGGGAATTTATCACTAAAAAACTAGCTGTTCTGTGACCAAGAGGCAGGGAGCTTTTTCAGTTTGAGACTGGAGGCCAGACTGGTAGTTTGTCCTTTCCAGCGTGGTGGGACCTACAAAACCAGGGAGCAGTCTGCTTGCCAGAGGTGTTCACTTGTGGAGATGTCCTTTGTAAAATTCAGACAGAAGAGGGATTCCCCCTAGATGGTAACATTCTCCAGATGACAGTATTTTCATGTTTCTCAACATTTGCACCATGCCCCTGGATATAGGGCCTTTTTAGTGAGACCTAAGAAAAGATGGGCATCGCTTTTCATACACAGTACAAACAAGTGGATGAAGAATGCATATAGGTTCATTTGTGATACGCTGCAAGTTGGTAGCCTATTTGAGTAGTCCATCAGTGTGCGTTTCTTGGACAGACAGCTGTAATGGGTGGACAGTGACCTAGACCTAGAATTACCTGGAGGAAGAAAGCACGCTCTCAGAAGAGTCACTGCAGGCATCTCAGATGTCAATGGGAAGACCTAAGTGGTAGGAAATACCTAAGTAAATGGGTTGTGTGATATGACCTATGACATGTCCAAGAAGTGGCATAAATTTGAATTTGCTAAGGGTGTGCATAGCTCGAAAATGAGATGGGTTGGTCATGCTGCAAAGCCAAGAGAAAACAGTTTGAATAGCTGTAGTATTATACAGAAGAATCACATAGGATGAGAAAGGGAGGGTTGCAGTCTTCACTGGTGGAGGGAGTAGTTGAACAGTTCCTAGATTTCATCCAAGTATACAGATTGAATAAAATGGGTGAATTACTTCTCAGTGAAACAATTTGGTGGTAGCCGTGGTTTTTTTGTTTTGTTTTGTTTTTTGTTTTTTTAGTTGACTACAATGAAAAGTATCATAAAGATTGCTGAAATGACCTTATAACCCATCCTGGGACCTAGTTTGCTTACCTCAAATTAGATGTGACTTCAGGGAATTTTGATACGAAAGTGAATCTTATCTCACTGGGGTATATATTATCCTCTCTAGTAGTACAGATTGTAAACCGTTCATGCCTTGCTGAATACCCTCCTATAAATCCTTCATAAAGGAGCTGAGGTGCTAGAATCCTGCCTCCAAGTTTTTATTCCTGTTGCTAATATTGAAACACTCAGCCTGCCCATCTTGTATTGTTAGAGGTAGTCTAATGTAAAATCTTACCACTGGGCACTTTGGTGGCCAAAGTTTAAAGCCTCTCTGGTCTTTTCCTTATAAAGTAGAAACAATTAGTACCTGCCTTACTGAGTTGTGAGGTTTAAATAAGATTGTTACAGTGTTATAGAAATGTCATGGGATGGCACAGCTTCCAAAGAATAACAAAATGGGCATTATTCAAGGAGCAAATAGGAGGTGGTGCATGGTGGGCGTGAACAGACCAGTACAGATAAGGAACCATCATGAAGAAGCACAACGTTAAAGAAATAGGTGATGGCAGAGAGGATTCTGGGAAGATGGCCCCAGCCATGGGAACTTTTACCCTGAGGACAGTGAGGGGAGTTGGACATCTGACCTGGAGAAGATCGAGGGTTAGGCATCTTTAGTTAGCATGGCTTTTGTCACTGATTAAATTACACAGATGACTTTAGAATAAAAATGTAGTTAGGAGTCATGCTCTGAATGTGACCTTGTCATGCATTCTTTCCCCCTTTAGGGCATCTTGAGGTGCTGGAGCTAGGCAGGGAAGTTCTTGTTTATCTTTTTAGTCCAACAAACATTAATCACTTGCTGTATACCAACCATGCCGTGGTAGATGGAAGGTGCTAACCTTAGATAAGGGAGATGGGGTTCCTGCCCTCATGGGAAGGGTTAGCATTGGATGGAGGACTAGCGTTCATTAAATTCAGCTCTATCAATTTATAATTGAAAACACTGAAGTCTGGACAAGTAAAATAACTTGCCCAAGGTCACAGGAGTAGTGAAGAATGGAGTTGTCCTCTGCCTCCAAATCCACGCCACTGTGTTCCTTTGTGCAAGAAGCTGGGTGGTTGCAGTGGTTAGAGCCCTGGGCCTGGAGTCAGAAAGAGCTGAGTTCCAGGCAGCTAGGTGGCGCAGTGGATAGAACACCAGCTGTGGAGTCAGGAGGACCTGAGTTCAAATTTGGCCTTAGACATATAAATGACCATATTTTTTCTCCTCCTCCCCCTCCCCCACCTCTTGTTACCTGGCTCCCGTAGAATTATATTCACAACTCTGTGAAACAGTTAAAATCTGGAAAATGCCTTCTCAAACAGGACTTTACTGAATGAGGATAATCATACATTTAATAATTATTTCACAGTTTTTGAATGTAGAGAAAGCATGACTCAATGGGCAGAGCAGGGGGCTTGAAATCAGAGGACACTGCCTGTGTTTCATGGTACCTACCTGGCCTCAGTTTCCTCTCCTGTAAAACGTAGGGGTTGGACATGGCGGCTTCTTTAAGGATGCTTCTGGCTGTCAGTTGCTGATTCTCTGTGTAGCATAGATGAGCACCTTGCCACTTGAATTGGTTAGGGCTGCAGTTGAAAGTTTCTTGACAATTTGCAATGCATCTTTGCTTCCCACATGAGTAGTATGTGCCTATTTCTTATCAAAAACCCACTTTCCACAAAAGTCTCCATCATCTTGAACATATTGCCATTAAAAGAAAGAATAGGGAAGAAGATAAATTAGGCAACTGTTTTAGCTACAGAAGAGGAAAAAAAAGCCCTGGGAAAATCTCTAGATCAGAGCCAACAGCTAATTTCTTTGCTTTT